CATAAATATCAAATACTTACGAGCTCGGCCATAAAAATCAATTCAAATTGGCCAACAATGGTGCGTTGCTGTGGCTGCTGCGCGAATGCCGCCTAACAGCCCAGACTCTGATGCTGACTCTGACGTAGTCGCAGCTACTTTTTGTTTATGTGCATTTCCTGCCTAACTACGGAAGTTCACATCGCAGTCAGTCAGACTAACCGACAAGCCGGCAGAGAGACAGACAGACAGACAGGCAGATAGAGAGATGGAGATTTGTTTTAGGTCGGGAGCCTCATTAACTCAGCTGCCTCCGCGCCGCAGAGTTATTTATTTTATTGCTACCAAGTGCGCCCCATTTACACACGCACACATACATATTTTGTATTTGACTAAGACTTTAATGCTTCAAGTTAGCAATGTTTGCCCGTGTTAGCAGCTTCTTTATATGCTCGTTCATACATTAAAAGGAGTATATCGTCTTCAAGCAATGCTCATGCATGGGAGACACTGAAAGCATACTTTCAGTTAGCCACAGCAGCTAAGATTATAAAATTGATCTATATAGATGTATTAGAAATCGTTAAAAGCTATCTATCAATTATACTTTTTGAAGCAATTTTGATATATCTATAAGTAAACACAAGTGAAAATCCAGCTATGCAAATATAAGCGAGCATGAAGCAGTCGCTACTAGCCGCCTGCATCATTCGACTTGTTTTATTTATTTCTTACTTGCTGCGCTGGGAGCTCATCAAAGGTGTTTTCACATCATGCGGGCCTCATTAAGTACTCCAGTTAAATTTACTTTTTATTTAAATGCCTAGCACCGATAACTGGCCTAACTAAATGTATTATATAGCTACAATATGTATATATATATATATGTATATACATATATTAGGTAGCCTTTGACGTCTGCTTTGCTGAACACAAGTTTTTCTTGTCGTAAAAAACTGTCATTAAAACAGTTGGAATTTATATATTCATTAAAATCGTTTGTGGCCGATGATATCAACATTGTTTATAAAACTATAATTAAAAGAGCAGAGAAATATCAAAAGCTCAAAATATACAATGTTGATGTTGACAATAAAAAACAAGCAAATGTAGCATTTAAATTGTTTTTATTCGAAATGCTGTGAAACTAGAAAAATAGAAAAATCGGAAAATCGAAAAAAATCGCTGTCAGTTATTCATATATTGTGAATTGAAATTGACCGAATGCAGTTTCGTCACTTTCTATTTTGAACTTGTAATGGATGTGCTAACAAATGGCCAAATACTTTGCGTAATCAGTTTTCCAAGATTTTTCACTTTTGGCAAGCGAACAAGGAAAATGAAAGCAAGTGTAGCTGCCTGTCTACCATCTAAAATATCATCAGTATAGATAAGCCAGAGGCATTTCCACCATAATTCAGTCGGTTAATTGGTTCACACTCACAAAGTCTTTTAACTTGGCTCTTCACATTTCACATGGGCAAAGAAACAGTTTTAGCCTTTTCTATTTATTTTCCGATGAAACAAGAAGCGTGCCAATTTTCTTGGCAATTCTCTTAAGTTTTATTTTTAACACAAAAATTAGTCATCGACTGGCGCACACGAAAAAAGCGAAAAACGATTTGAGGTTTTCAGAATTTGTTCAATTTCACTTTCAATTTCAATTTCAATCGCTTTAACAAATTCGAAAATAAGAGAAAAGGGAAACCACTTGTTGCGACAGAATTTGCTTTCATCTAATTACTTATTAATTGTCAGCTATGAAGGCGAAAAATATTTGGGTAAGAATTTCGAAAAGGTGATGCTGTCACAATATTTACTCATATATATGTCAGATGTGTATATATATATATATATATATATATATATATATATATATATATATATATATATATATATACATAGTTTCGTTTGCTTCTTTCAAGTCCCTGAACTAATTTATTGTGTGTCTTAGAAGATTGTTTTTGATTTATTGAGTACAAGCTACAAGGCACTTTAATTAGCGGCATATGAAATGTAGGTTAAGCGTTTAAGCATTAAATTTCCTTTTGCTTTTGTTTTTTTTTTTTATCTTTGCCGTCACGTAATTTATTAAATTTTTTATGCCGTCTGTTGACACTCGAAAATAGGCTCATTTAACGATTGACGGATGAGCTGTTGAAATTTGCGTGCTTTTAAGACTTTAATATGATGCCATATAGCAAATTATACAATGCACGTTTTTTTTAATGCTCGTTAAGCAATTGACTGAATTTCTTGTCACCTGCTGAGAGAAATGTGTGGGAAAATGCATTAAGAATATGTGACAGACATCCGAGAAGTTGTCAAAAAAGAGACGTCAAGTGCATGTGACACAGTCAAGCAGCTCAACCACAAATTGGCTACGAGTGTGGTCGAATCAATTGTAGCGCTATTAAACATAGTCTTTAACAATGTTGATACATAAGATATTTTATAGCAGAGCATTGGTATAACAGTTTAATAGTATAATAGTATAACAGTGTAATAATATATCAGTGTAACAGCATAAAAATAAAACAGCATATCAGTATAAAGGGTAAGAGTATAATAGTATACCAGTATAACAGTATAACAGTATAACAGTATAACAGTATAACAGTATAACAGTATAGCAGTATAACAGTATATAACTACATAGCTATATTCATTCAATATACCCAAAATTTACTGATATTGATATGCCTCATATTGGCAACTGTAGCGCAATGAAGCTTTGATATATAGCCGTAAGATCTACTCGTATAGCCAGACGATTCTGATGCGTGAGCACTTTACTTAATATCAGATGTATATATATGCATCAGCCAGACACATAAAAGACATGCAGCAATTTGAATGCATTTTATAAAAATAATTTAAGTTTATTATATGCAATTACAAAAATAAATTTATAATAAAAAATAAGATACACAATTATTTGAAATTTATTGCATTCCATTTGTTTCTACACAACGTAAAAGCAATTAAATTCATAACAGATATTTTAAAATAGTAATGTTAATGTGGCATTTTGGCATTTTGATAGTGCAGCACAAAAGCAATTAACGCTAACATTCCTGGTCAGCTATCAAAATAGGGAAAATTATGTATAAATAACAGATTGCCCCAATACAAAAATATATGTACATAGAAACAAAAATTAAGCTGCAAGCAAAAGACATGAAACACAACACGTAAAACCATTTCAAGTTCAAACTTATTACAAAATGCGATAAAAGAAAAATATAGAAATAAAAATAGAAATTCAAAAGGTCAAATGGGAGGGAGGAAGCTGACAAAGCTGCGAGCGTGGTAGATGACATCGTACATAGATACATAGATGTGTGTGCGCGCGTGTGTGTGTGTGCCTTGGGAACAACTTAAATTGAATTCAAATTTGAGAACGTGCTGACGCTGGTGTGGCAAGCCGTTGAGAGAATAAATGTCCTGGCCAATGAAAGGGGCAAGGAAGGACCGATGCAAGAGCGGCAAAGCTCTGGCTGCTGCATTGGGGATAGGCTACAGAGAGAGAGAGAGAGAGTGGGAGAGAGAGGGAGAGTGAGAGAGAAAGAGAGAGACTGACACACACACGCACTATGTGTATATATGGTGCTGTGGTTTATAAAAGAAAAGTACAACTTAACTTGATGCCACAATGTAATTGCAACAAGGGAACACGCTGACAGACAGTCAACTAAACAGAAAAAAGTGAACTCCAAGTGAAAGAGTCTTATACACAGGCTAGCCAATAGACAGCCCACTCATTCAGTCAATAAGCTGCAGCACTCGACGTTTTAATGATGATGCCACTGATGATAATAATGATGATGATATAATTCGAATAGGCTGGGCTGGGCACAGGTCATCGGGAATGGATCTTAAAACAAAACAAGGACAGCGCAACGAAGATTAAATGCCCTTAAAGACCGATTTAGTTATAAATTATTTACTTTCAAGCAACTTTACCTATGGTAACAACACAAGTACGACCCTAACGTGGGCTCGAATCGTTAAGTAAATCACATTCAATTTATGATTTGAAGACCTGGTTACAGACTTCTTGCCAAAATTGTGCTTCCCTCTGCAAGTGTAAACAAAATTCTGTGCAAAAGACCAAGCAAAATGATATATATAAAAGAAATCTGTCTACAAACTCATAAATATACAGATATATATAAATTGGGAAAAATGCATTTGGAAATGTTTTTCTTCTTTTTAGTTTTATTGGCTGCTCATGACCTGCGGCAATAAAAATTTATGACTGACTGCGCCAGTGCCAGTGCCGGTGCCGGTGTCGGTGTTGGTGCCTGTACTTGGGCCTGGGCTGGGCACACTTGTGATTTATACGCAAGGCGGCAACATGTTGCTACTCAATGTTGCTGCAACATCTAAGCGAGATGCTAGCAACTGCCGCTGACAGACTCGCGTTTGAGCTCAACAAGAAGCAGCGCCTGGCCATATGGAAAACTATATAAATATATATGTGTGTGTGTACACTTTCAAAGAGATTGCCAAAAGCTGATTAGCTAAAAAGCGGCGCACGACTCGGCGAAAAAGAGCATTTGAAATTGATTAGAGGAGCGCAGTCTCGCATTATGACAGCGACTGGCAGATAAGTGCAGCGATAGCGTCACAGCCCATTAGAGCAACCTACATACATAGATCTCCTGGTGCTCCTGCTGGCTGCATAGATCAGCGACTGATTTGATTTGTGTGTGTGTGTGTGCTCCCCTCTCTCTCCTACCCGCTCTCTTCCTGCTTTTCGCTTTTCTGGCTACTTTCAAAAGTGAACGCCAACACAAACACACAATCAGCACTGGCAAGAGATGCAGATGCGGAAATCAGCGCTGAATTGTTGCCATTTTCAAGTGGAGCTGCCTGCGTTGCTCACCTTCAAGCGTTGCAATTCGGGCTGCTGCTGTTCCCAGATGCTTATCAGTTGCATTAGAGATGCTGCTGAAGCGCTTTCTTTTGTCTAAGCAGCGCATGCGCTGCCCTTGTTCTTGATATCAGCTGTCTGCTTAAAGCATATAAATACCCTGCACTGCAATGCAGCTGTGGGGTATATGGAGTTGTTATGTGATATGTATTAATACATCTGTATATTTCCTTCTTAACTCTAGATCATTTTAAATCTCTCCAGAGCATCTGATAGTTAATACTCTCTCTGCATGAAATGACATCAGGCGCCGCTTACACTATGCAACATGCCTTTGTTCTACTCACCTTGCAGCTGGCAGCCATTGTGTCTCGAGAGATAACTGAGTCGGATGACTTCCTGCCTCGACTTCACATTGGCATTGTTAACAGCTCAGTGGGCCAAAAGTAGTTGTGTCTAGGCAGCAGCACTTGCTCTTTGCACTTGTTATGATTATGAAATGCAAAACTCGACTTGGACAGACAGCAGTCAGCAGGCCAGATAGCTCTGCGAATCGGCCCTAATCAACATCATTATGATTATTTATTATTGTAAGTGTTTGCTTTTGTGTGCACTGTGACAAAAGATAACAAACTGCTTAGAATGCGAACAATTGTGCACTGGGGGCTAATGAGACAGGCCGCTGACGGAAGCACAACTCCGACACTGGAGATGGAGACGAAGACGATCTTCAAGTACAATGTAATTGTCAAAGCTCAACTCGTTGTTACCTTGAGTAGAGAATGAGAGGCAACTGCAACTGAATCTGCATGCCGCACGCTTTGGCATAATAAAGCCATTAGGTATTCAAAACATTCTCTTAGCATGCAATCTCTCTACCTCTAGCTCCCACCTCTCTCCCGCGCTCTCTGTCTCTTACACTGGATATTAGTGTGCGCTGGCAGCTCATTAATTCAATTGCATTTTCGTGGAAATTGCCGGCTGTGTTTCGTCTTAGGCAAATTTACATTTCACTTCATCGAATTGGTGGCAAGACAGGTGAAGCTGACTGCCACAGCGCCCAAGTCGGGTGCACTCCACGCGTGGCTAATTGCTTTTGCTCTTGCCCATGAAATATGCAACAGGGTTGCAAGACAAAGTGCACAATATTTGCCAGATTGGCAGCTCTCGACAGACAACAACAACTCACATAGCAATCAAATTCAATCAATTTAATCAAGCAGAATACACACAGAGTTGCAGATAGATAGGAAGTGTGGGAGACAGGTGGTGGTGGCACATGCGGCGTATGCGCAACGTGGCAGCTGCTGGTGGCGCCTCGTGTTAATTTTAACACGTTACGCACGTAAAGCGTACAAGCGCTGCTAAAAATACATATCATGTATATGTAGATGTATACAATAAATGTACTTTTATATAGCTGCCATAATATCGAGTAACAAACGCCTCCAACGTAAACACACACACACACACACACACTAGGGAAACACACACTTAAACACGCACAGTCATTTGATATACACGCACAACTAGCGAAGAAAACTTGGCTAGAAGTTGCCTTAGAAGCGCTCGAGGAGAGAGTTAGATCTGGGTCTGGGCTACATAATAAAGCAGCCATAAAACAACAAGAAAACGTGCGAATAACACGTACAAATGAACAGTTGTAGGGACAAAATGTATGGCCAACAGAGCTGAACTATTGTGTGCCCAAAATGAGTTTCGCCAACATTTCGACAACGTAAATATGGAAGCAAAAAGAATTTATTATATTTCAAAAGTTTAGCTCTATTTATAAATGTATTTTAAAGTTGATAATTTGATTTGAAGTTGAGCTGTCTTAGCTGTTGTAAAATGGCCTTTTTTTCTGGGCGAAATTGAGGCGAAAGGGCTTTCTCTCTGTCCACTTGATTAGTTGATTACAGCTGCTGGCTGTGCCTGCGTCAATTCCCTTGTGAAAGGCAGAAAGTCAATGCCAAATTCTTATGCTAAACACGCGCGTGTCTGACGAGCGATTTGCTGGCGTTTTGCTGCTGCTGCTGCTGCTCAGTTTCTACATGTTGACTTGTTGTGTGCATTAAAAAGCATACAATATAATAAAAATACATGCACATAAATAACACGAGGCAGCTGAAGAGCCAAACAAAACCGAAACACAAGCAAAAATAATAAAAATCAAATAAACCGACAAAAAAGGAGAAGAAAAGAAAAGGGCAGCCGGCAGCCGGCAGCTGAAGCAACTTTAGCATTCCTTTGCGACGTCAAAGTCAACGCAAGGAAAATGCCAACACAAAAGCCACTCACAAAGGGAAAGTAAAGCTGAAGCCAAAGCTGTGCCAAGAATTTACACACGCCTCACAATTCTTAAACCATTGCGAGGCGCGTGAACTTGAATTGATTTGCTTAGAGACTTTTGCTCAAGACACACACAGACACAGTCATATGTTATGCATGTGTGCGTGAGCGTCCCTTGAGAGGAGTAAAACGACGTCATAATTATAACGAGCCAGCAATTTGTATAGCAGGCCACTGACAACGGGGCGTATGAGCAACTGAAGCAACAAACAATATTTTTATAGCCACAACAACAGAGCGGTAAATTTTTAAAGTGTATTTCAAGAGAAAAGGTTAAATGCAACCGTAAAATGGCAGCTGAGAGTGAGAGACTGTGGGAGAAACAGAGTTGACAGGGGAATTGTGATAAGGGGCGGCAAGGTGAGGGCTGGGAAAAGATTTATGAAAAATTGGCTTTTGTTTGGCCAAGCGGGTCACAAGCAAACAAGATAACGTACATGTTCTGTCAGTGTGTGTGTGTCTGTGTGTGTGCGTGAACCGAAATGAAAATGTAAAGTTTATGACAGCAGAATTTTTGCATGCTGATGGGTTATGGATATTAAATTCAACAGAATATAAAAACATATTAAAATCAAATTTAACGACTTTATTGGAAAAAAATTTTGAATAAAATTCTTAAAAATAAAGATAAAATATATAAATAAATAAAAGACAGTATAAAATAAATTTGTTAAGATTTATTTCTATGTTAAATAGTTTTAACTATAGAGTAACTCTTAGTCAGTCTCTGCCCGTCGAGTTCTAATATTCATTTATTTGTTTTTGGTTTTTTTTCTTTCTCATCTGTTTGCTGTTGCATGTTTCCACTTCCGTTGCTTGTGTGTGTTTATTTTTTAAGGGAAAAAACAGCACAACTAAAATAAATAAATGAAACTACATGGCCTATGCCACGCCCACTGGCCTTGCCAGGAAATAAAAATATGAAAACTTGTGTCATAATTTTCAATTTATCTCGGCGGGTCACAAAGCCCAGCCACAAATAAACAAGACAGAAAAAAATTGTAGCCAAAGGCGAACATGGGTTAAAATGGGTTAAAATGACAACCGAAACGAGCACACAAAAACCATTACAAATACTAAAATAAAAAAGCATTTCCAATCTGGAGCAACAAATCAACGGACTAACTGCAGATGCGTCTAAACAATTTCTGGCTGTTCGCGTTTATGAGCCATGTACAAATAGAAATTCTCATTGTTTATTGTTTATGCTTATGCAATTTAATGTTGCTAACGGAACATATGAAATCTTTTTGGCAAGTTGTTCGGGAGGCGCCGCCAGCCGCCTGAATTTGCGTCATCGAATTGCATTTGCGGCTGCAATTTGTGCCCTGGCGCAATATCAAAGTCAAATGGTCTGTGAAACGCTTTCAGCTGTTGCCAAATCAAATAATCAACGGAAACGTGTTGAAATCAAACAAACCAAAATAAATGTAGCTAAATTGTTTGAACAAAATTACTTAAAAATAGACAAGAATCGGATTTGATTTTAATGGGATCTCTGACATAGTTAATTACTGTGACTTCTGTGCCTTACGATTCAGTTGATTCCTTTTGTAAACTTCAACAGCATTTAGCCACAGCAGATTGAGTCTGAGCTTTCAGCAGCAGCAGCTGCGGCAGCATCAACTGCTCCAATCTCAAAATACTTTGCCTCAAATAACTTGAGCGTCACAAATAGCTGCAACGACCTGAGCTGTGTTCGGAAAAGTCGCGTGTAATCCAGACTCTTGAGTTCAAACATAGACGGGAATCCTTTAGCTGTCTGTCCGCCTCAGTCTCGTCGTCCAGTGCACCTGGCATTAAAGCTACGTGAAGCAAAGTTGAACTCAAACTTGTTGAAAAATTGCAAAACGTTAATCAAAGTTAAGCGGGCGAATGGCAACGGCGACGGCGACGGCGACAGCGACGGCAATGGCAATGGCGATGGCGACGACGCCGACGTCAAAGTTAATTAAATTACAAAGTTATTTAATACTCTGGGAATCGTTACCGTTAGCAGCCAGGAGCAAGCAGAAGCAGGCAGCACCACCACCAGCAGCAGCAGACAGGCAAGTGTTGCGCTTGCCAGCACTTTGAACTTTTGCACCCGTCGCCCTTTTGGCTGGCAGCGAGGTGTTGGCTCTGCATGGAATTCGAATCCCCTCGAAAACGTGTGTCAGTTTTTAATGAAATGTAATTGAAAGAAATTAAATAGCGCGCAGCGCATGAGCTGCCAGAGATTAAGTGAAATTGACTGGACACAAAGGTAAACACGCCCCAAAGTCAAGTAGAAAGTTGAAAAATGATTCCTTAATGCATGAATTCATATCATTTTTTGTTCTGCTAGATGTAGCTGTGTGCAAGCCAAGGCACACACATTATTTATAAAAAATATTCCAGTCTATAATTATAATTAATCCTTATTAGAACAGCTCATCGTCATCATCTTCAATCAAGTCTTCATCATCGTCATCGTCTTCGTCATCGTCATCATCCTCATCTTCTTCAATATCCATATCGTCCTTATCATTCTCGATGTCATGCTCATTCTCATTCTCGTTCTCATTCTCATTCTCATTCTCATTCTCATTCTCATTCTCATTCTCATTCTCATTCTCATTCTCATTCTCATTCTCCTCATTTTCATTCTCATTCCCATTCCGATTCTCATTCTCATCCTCGTTCTCGTTCTCGTTTTCGTTCTCATCCTCTTTCTCATTTTCATTCTCAATTCCAATTCCAATCTCATTCTCAATCTCATTTTCATTCTCAATTTCAATCTCAAACTCATTCTCATTTTTATTGATATTCTCATTCTCAAAATCATTTTCATTCTGATTGCCGCTCTGACTACTATTCATATTGTCATTATCACAGTCCATATCACTATCTCTCTCACTCTCACTATCATTCATTAGCTCGAAATCTGAATTATTATAATTCTCAGCGAAATATTCATTTTCATTCTCATTCTCTTCATAATTCTCATTCTCATTTTCATTCTCATTTTCCTCGTAGTTCTGATTTTCATTTTCATTCTCATTTTCCTCGTAGTTCTGATCTTCATTTTCATTTCCATTTTCATTTCCATTTTCATTCTCATTCTCATTCTCTTCGGAATTTCCGTTTTCATTCTCTTCGAAATACTCATTTTCATTCTCATTCTCCTCGGAATTCTCATTCTCATTCTCTTCAGAGTCCTCTTCATAAGTCTCAATTTCATTGTCATTCTCTTCAGAATTCTCAATCTCTTCGAAGTTCTCGTTCCCATTCTCATTCTCATTCATTTCGAAATTTTCGTTCTCAATTTCATTCTCATTTTCGTTCTCATTTTCATTCGCATTTTCATTCTCATTCCCAATCTCATTCTCCATCTCAGTCTCTCCGTACTCCATATTCTCATTGTCATAATCATACTCTTCATAATTCTCACTGTCGTCGTAGTTCATTTGCTCAGTTTCATTTTCTTTCTCATAAACCTGATTTTCTTCAGATTCATCTTGATTACAGTTATCCAATTCTTGAATTTGTAGCCTCAGGCCCTTGGACTTTTGCATAAAAGAATTGCTTTGGGCTAGAGTAAAATGAAGTATTAAAATATTAAATCTGGAGTATGCGACCCCTTACCCCTCTCATTGAACTCCTCATTGAGCTCATAGATGTCCACATCGAACACCTCATCCCTCGGCATAAGAGCCGTGACATATGCTGGCTTCGTGGGCGCTGGCAATTTAAGCACTAATCAAGCCGAATGGAATCGTTAGCTTCTCTTAAAGATCAGCTCTTTCGGCGACTCACCCATAAAATCCGTGTTCGGTTGCGGCTCGGTGAACAGCGAAGATTTCGGCATTGTGCGCAGATAAAATGCATTAAGCGCCTTCTGGGCACTCTGATGCAGTTGCGCACGACGCTCCCGCTCCGAGCTGTAGCCTCGATCCGTCACAATGTCCATCATGGTGTTCCTGTAGGTATGGAGTCCGGGGAAAGGTGGCATATATTTCGGTATGTGCCGTCCACTGCGTGTGCCACGCTGTTGATTGATATCCAACTGTGGACTCTGATGTATGTCCTCGTCTCGGGTCTCCATTGGAGAAAAGCTCACGACCGCTGGCTGAGTCTCTGGGCTGCTATAACGTATCTCCCGCAAGCCGCTGACCCCAATGCCCAGCACGCGGAACGTGCGCTCCACATCAAAGTAACAGGGCGTGGAGCGACCCGCATGGCCGGCGGCATTCGAGGTGGTGACCGCAATGTCACGCAGTCCTGCAGGTCACACAGTTAGCTAATGGACAGCAGCGGATGCACTTACTCACTGTAGCGCATCAAGTAGACCAGCTTATCACGCACAAGCTGGTTTTCCGGTTGGCATTCCTTGTGACAAAGCATTTGCTCGACGACCTGCCGCAATATCTCCTCAAAGGGATTCATTATGATTCCGCAAGTGCAAGTCAACGAAAGCAACAAACTTAATTAGTTTTGACAGGCCGTCAATGAGTTTCCTCTGTCTCCTTAGCCAGTGTTGTTAGCTGACAGTGTTGTAAAGGCAAATACCCCTTGTCTATCAGCTACTTAGCTTCTGGCTGTTTGTCTGTTCAACCTCTTCTCAAAACATGTTTGCATAATCTTTCCATAATCAGCGCCCGTTTCGCTTGCTGAGCCAATGCCAACAATTAGCCAGCGATTCGAGACGCTTCCCCGCCCAAAAAACTAATTAAAATATTTGCGTTTGACGATCGCGACAAAAACTGCAAACACACACACAGACGGAGGCACAATAAACCTATTTTACGAGTTCGTTAACGTGAATGCCAACGTTTAAGTTTACGTATCTCGCATCGCTCCTAATGAGTTATGCAAATATTTGCAGCTGAATCAATTTTCCAGAATAACAAACATAAAAACTGCTTCTATGAAGCATAAATCGGCTAGACAAGCGACGAAAGCGATGCGACTAGAACTTTTAAAGAGGCGTAGCAAAAAATACTCTTCAATTTGTTCAGGCATTGCTAACAAAAACTAGACAGACGATATGATTGAATATGCAACCGAAACATTATTAAGAATAAATTTTTATTAATTATACTTACTTGAGTTGAGTCCATTATGCTAAAGGATGACGTAGACAGGTTTTAAGACCAGCACAATTTTTATAACTTCTTATAGTTGCTTGCTTAAGAAATTAAGACTAATATTTAATAGAAAAAAAAATAAATAAATAAGTCAACGAGAGACAGCTATAGAGGCCTTCTAAGGAATTTTGTATAAGAGCCTTTAATACTTGACCTACGTTTAGTTCATAACTACAAAAAGGCAGCTTGAATACCCTGTAATTTTCCCCATTTCGTGCAACGAACAGCAAGAACAATTGCTCATACCCTCACATAGATAAGGCATATCAACAAACATGTCAGCTTGTTAAGTTAAGAAAAAGAGCTGAGAGAATGTACGCGTATTGTGCCTAATGACAAATTTTCACAAGCCACAAAGGAGACATTCAAGCGACAGAGACAGGGGCTGGGGCAGACAGACGCACAGACAGAGCAATGCATCATAAAAGTCGTTGTTGTTGTGGCAACTGGAGGCGGTAATCATGCATGGAGCATAAAAACAGCGACGACGAGGTTACTGTGTCAATTGAACTCCAGCAGCGCCGTCGGCACAACAACAACAGCAACAAGAACCACAAAGCATTTTAGATGCAGACAGCGAAATGCGAGATTCGCATTTGTGACGCCCAAGAGGCTGCCGCAATTGAACAAATTGCACGCCCACCTCCAGCCGTCTGCCTCTCTCTCTCTCTCTCTCCCTTCCGCCTGCTGATCGTGTGTTGTGGGCGTGCGCGTCTGACATTTGTGCCGGCTGCCTATCGAGCTGCAAAATCAGCAACGTTTAAGTCTCAATCTGGTCCGATTCGCGGCGCAGGCGCAACTGCTCCCGCAGGCGTTGCCTCGTAGCTTGTTGCATCTATGATAAACAGAATTAAATCATTTTGCCACACGCAAATATTGCTGCTGCCTCTGTGTGTGTGTGGCTACTGCACCCATTGTTGCATAAATTTCATTCATAATTAACAAGATGCGCCAGCTCGCGTTGCAAACTGGCTGGCAAGCAAAATAATTGCCACAATTTGTGTGGCAGCCACAAATTGAGCTGTCTCTCTCTAGAGAGACAGCGCCGCTCAAGCTAATTCAAACGATTAATTTGATAAGCTAAGAGCTTAAGTCTCAAGAACAAGCGACAGCTGAGCAAACCTGCAGCAAATTGATTGAGCGGCAGATTACTCTGGAAGTTGTTGCCGCCAGTCGATGCGGTAACTGGTGCAAATTGACTTGCAACAAACTGTTCCAGTTAGCCTCGTTTGTGCGATAAGTCTGTAGCAACTTCGTCTGGCACCGTTAAGCCCACGCAGTTGGCCTCGTCGTTGCCACTTAACGCTCTGGCACGATCTGGAGAAGGGCAGGTCAATGCTGTCGCCTGTCCATGACAGGCTAATACCGGATCTATGTCCCGCCTCAACTGCCACAAGTCATTTGGCAATCGACTTGGAGTTCGGTTGTACCTGCTCTAACAGGTCTTTATGTAACGGACTTGCAACAGATTCTAAAACAAGTGCTTGAACTTGAGCTATGGAACGTGGCAAGCTGGTTCCATCAAGATGTTGCATTTACAAATGTTGTAAGTGCAGACAAATCGGTTGCCTCTGCAGTTCCACTTGGACTTGTGCGCTATTTTTAGTGGTCTATACACTTGGTCCCTGCTTAAACCATTTGGGAATTACAATTTATTATTCTCATTGTCTGTCGCTCTCTAGTTAGCACTCTCGCTCGCCCTCCTTCAATTATTTTCTCACTTCTCCTCTGGCATCCTCTTGAGCGAATTTCGCTTGCGCAATATATTACCATGAGAATCGCATAGGAAGACACTTGGCTTCTGTCTATTTCCAGCAGCTCGCTTCATAAATAATACATGAAATAATCTCCGTTCATTCCCATGTACACTTCAGTGAATGCAAAATGCCATTTTTGAACCATTGGAGGCAGCACATAAAATGCAATGCATGCAATTTGTTAATGCCACAGTCGAAAACGCCAGCAACGTCTGCAAAATGTGCCCCGAAAATAAGTGCAACAACAACCGGGGCAAGATACAAAGTCCAATTGGACTTGTGTACTGAGACAACATTCGAGCAGACCGACAATTGGACCTGGAGCGAGTACAGCCAAAATGGCAGCCACTCGAAGATGTCATTGAGTCTGACATGAGCATCGCCTGGCCCCGCTGCCAGCCGAAACGCTTTGTCATAATTCCCGTCTGCATTTACTCACTGTTGTTTTTCTGGTAGCCACTGCTGCAGCATCTTTTTCATATTTATCTTATTTGCTTATTTAGCTTTGCTGCTGATTTAGCGTTCGGCTGCCCCTTCGACTGCTTCATACTCTACCGCACCTTCACATCGACACGTTTATTTTGTTTGTGTTTGTGCTTGTATTTGTTTATTTGCTATGTGATATGCTTGTAGCTGGTATATGTGAAATATGGGATGCGTTCGGCTTAGGTTACCCACATTGTTGTCAGCCCCTTCGTCGGGGACTTCTTCTGCTTCTGGTTTTGCTGTCGCAGAGATATTTCTGTTTTGCCTATGCAAGTGAAATTCGTAATTATGCTCCCAAGCGTTCTTTTTTAGCACAAATTTTGCATTTCATTTGGTACATTTGGTTCCGTGACGTTCCTGAAGTATCGGGCCACATAAATCGAGACCACTAAAAAAAAACGGAACACAAAACAAGCAGCAAAAATAGAATGAAAGAAAATATCTCTGCATAAATTTGCGGGCAGCTTGGAAAGTTGATTTGAATTTAAATTTCAATCGAATATTTTTCTCTGTCTCGCATTTGTATTGTTTTTTTCCACTTTCGCATACCCTTGTTGAGGGTAAAATGATTTTGGCTTGAAATGTGTTAGAAGGTAGAGTAAATGATTAACTATAGAGTTGTTACAGTATATATAATCCTGAGCTCTACTAAGAAGTTAATATTCTTATATATATTATTTATTGAATATATAATAAATAAACTCGTTAAAAATAGACTTTTTGTATTAGAAACTTAACTAAATTTAATATTTACAAGCTTCATTAGGCTCCCAAGCTAAATCTTTTTAGCATTTGTTTCATATATCACATAAAATATAATATTTAAAAAATACTGTAAAATAATTTTTCCTCTTATCCAAACTCAGCAAATATATGCCTTTCCGTAGAGTATACAATTTTCACGCTGTCATAGACAGCTGTTGCCTCTTGATTTTTATTCATATTCCGTTTTTGGGGGCAAAGCAACCAAAATTGAATTAATAAATGTGCTCTTAAGTCAGTCAGTGGGCCGCACCACTCCACGCACCACTCGGCATTTCTCCAATATACCGAATTTGGTTTAATTCTGCGTGTTCTCGTCTTAATTGCCATTTTGCATACATATGAGAAATGCTCAAAGTAGTTTACGAAACGCACAAAAGCAATTGATAAATTATTCCATTTTATTTCCCATAATTGCCCGAAATATATATATTTTTTTGTTTAACAAATTTCAATTATTGTGCCCAAGCTCGCCCAATTTTAGGCAATTAAAACCAATCAAAAACTGTGGGCGTTGCCACCTGTGCCATTTGCGCGGGCGTGGCGTCACGTCATACTTTATAAAAAGCAGAACGTGAAATGGAAAGTCTCCAGACACGAGACAATTGTCACCTAATGTGGCGCCTGTCTGTTGCCATAATTGGAACAAAGTTTTCGCGCAAAATGACTTCAATTCGATTTGCATAAACGTGCCACAAAAAGAGTCCCATAACAAATAACGGCGGAAAAACTGAAGTAAACTGCAGACAAGTTGGGGAACAAACTTTGTTGCAGATGTTGCAGCAGAAAGTGCAAAAGTCTCAACTAATGCCAAATGAAAAATACGGAAAAACCAGCAACAAGCACAGTGGAAGATATATTGCAATTGGGAAAGTAAAAATGGTAGAAATCGAAAACGATTAGAACATTTCTAGACCTTTATAGATTAAACTTATATGATAAGAGGATTTAAATTTTCACTTGAACTGTTCAAGAAGTGCAGCGCAGTGGAATAGTTATTTAATTTTATGTTGTGAATATGAATATGAATATTCATGTTTCCATCTCTATGTGTTTAAGTCCTTATATCTCAAAAAAAAAAAATAATAAGTCAGCTTTATTCTGTTTCTAGGTAAATTATCTGGATTATAAATGCCACCCAGCGCCTCCCAGCCCAAGCGCATAGTATTCTTAGCTATTGCAATAACAATCATTTAGACTCATATTAGTATAATTAATTCTAAAAACACACCCTTGTCCTTAATAAATAATTCATAAGCTGTGCAAAGCTTTATCTAATGTAGTTTATTATGCAGGCAGTCTTAAAATAACTCAATTAGTGGGCAGTGGCTGATAATTTTGCAAGCCAACGTCAGCTGCTGCTGCTGCTGCTGCTGCTTCCATAGAACTCAACTATTTTTAGCCAATGTGTGCACGGGGAAAAACATCGGTCGGAAAAATCTTTAAGCTGCTTACAACGAACTTTTTATTTTCTTGCCATCCAACACGCTATTTTCAATAGTTTGGCTGAAAAGCAGCTTAAACTTTGCAGTTGCAGCTGTCGCTTGATGTTATGCTATATTTATTGTTCCAGAGAATTCGTTCTTAAATAATTTAATAAATTAATACTAAGTCCTGGAGTTATTCAGCTCACCTGTCGCTTTTGGTTTCACCTAAGCAGCAAGAGATAAACTTGTTTACAACTCAAATAACTATTATTACAAGTTGTTGCTACTGTTGTCATTTTGCACAATTTGACAGTTTGACAGCGCGCGCGAGCGAGCGAGCTTTTGTTGTTCAATTGGAGACGGCTTCCGTGGCCACAGTGGTCTGTGCAGCATTCACAATGGTCGCGGCGGTCAGAGTGAGCTCGCTGGCAATGCTGATTGGTAACAGCATTTATTACGCAATTTGCGAGTATTTAATGTAGTTGTTGTTGTTGTTGTCGTTATTGTTTGCAATTGTCATTAACCATTAGGCGATCAGCTGGTTAAAAGTCGTGCAGTTGAATACATGTCAGTTAGTGCTGATTTTTTCGAAATTGGTTTCGGTAATTGACATCTGCAATGAGCCCACTCATTACAGCCTACACTGAGCGAAAATTGTCAAACAATCAGCTGAAGATATTACTTTCAGGGATCCTTAACTTACTAAACTAAGCTTATATTCAACTCTTATACTATTCACTCTTATACTATAACAATATATGTTTTCTCTTTGCAGCTGAACCAGCTCAAATCCAATTTCCCCGACTTGCGAAATCGTCTATGCTAAAGGTAAATGTATTTCAATTATAAATATTACTCTAAGTTTTGTCATAATAAACTTTGATCGTAAAATCCAATTTTACAAAGTGCATCGAAATGATGGCGCCTGCATTAATTCTAATAAATATTTTGTGGCAAGCCATATGTGCTGCATATGAAAGTCGCAAAGTTCAGTCTCGCGTCGTACCCCCACCTTTACTCCCCCCACCCCCTCCCCCCCCCTACAGCATTCACAATTGTGGCTTGACTTTACCTTGGCTTGTTCGTCCAATCAATATTTACCGCACACATTTAGCGCAATGCGAGGCGGCGATTTGCGTTTTCATCTTTCGCTTTTTACAGTTTTCCATTTTCATTTGCACTTATTTATATTTATTTTCGTCGGCATCTTGCCTGCAGCAGCAGCGCCGCATTTATTTATGTTTATTTTTAACACTATCGTCACGTGCAATATGTTAAGCGCCGCTTGCGGCATACGCTTATAGTTTTGCTATCGAAACCGCAGCAACAACAACAACAACAACGAGTGTAAGAGCGATAGGGTTGACCCATTAATAAAAGTGGGCATTATGGCCTAGCTATATAATTAAATAAAGTGCTCGATGGTGCAGCAGAAATATGTGATATCCTATGTGCATGTGATTTGCAATACTGAATACTCAATTTGGCCTTAAACATTAATCGAGGAGCCTATCGATAGTGGCAAGCCTTTTAAATACAGATCGTTTTTCAACACTTGACATTTCTACTCTTATACACAGTGGCTCAGTCGCATTATGCCTGCGGTTCAATACACCCGCTTGACACACTTTGTTGGTTGGCAGGGTATGCCAAAACACATTCAATATTCATTCACATTCGTATGACAATTGCATTTATCGGTCTCTCTTATGCGCCGCACGTGGCGTATGCGTAATAATGGCCAATATAACCATTTGTGGCTTTCAATTTTCAACAACGATAAGCCACAACAGATTGTTGAATGCCACACAAATATTGATTTAAGCGAGCTGCTATCAAATATTTATACAATTTGCGACATGCAAAGTCGCAACTTTTTCAAAATGAAATGCAACCACTTGGTCGTCCAACGCTGGCTGACTAAGTGGATGAGGAGTCTCACGTGGCCCACTCACAGCTATGATAAGACAAGGCTGACTCACTCGGTGGCTGTGCAATCACACCTACGGATCTTTAAGGCAAATTGTCTTAGTCACCTTTTATAATCGTAATTTGCATGTAATTTGCTGTCATGTTTTTTCCGTTTATTTTTTGTTTAACCAAATTTGTCGCTTGAAGCGTCAGTTTGATGGTTTCGGATTTAGATTTAGATTTAGAATTTGAATTTGCATTTGAATTTTATGACTCGCGTTTGATTTGTGAGACGTGATGTTTGCCTTGACATTTAAATCAGCAAATTTAAATAGATGTTTGCATGCCCAAATGGGGCACTTATTAATCAACCACGCCCACTCAAAGCACACACACGCTCACACATATCCATGCAAGTTGGTCAATAAATTGACGCAGACTTTGCATAGCCACTGGGTCAACAGCGAAGCAGCAGGATAAACATCGACTCGGCGCCAGGACTATAAATTACAGCTAAACGGAAATAATTTTCATGCATGTGAGAAAAAAATAAAGAAAAGGGAATTCGCAAATGCAAATGGAAATCAAACTGTGTGTGCGCGTGTGTGTGTTTGCGTCTGGCAAGCGGATTTTCAACATGTTGGCAAACAATTTGACGGCATGATTGAGTACGCAATGTACGCTGCCTTAAGGATCGCAGGCAAATCCCCGCCATATATCTGATGCCTGATGTCTGATGCTTGGTGCTAGCCAAATGCTTGTCATTATGATAGCAGCAGCCGCATAAGAATTTTACGCAATGCTGCTGCAACTAGTTCACTTTGGATTCAAGCAAAACTGTTGAGACTGCAAATGATGCTGCCATGAGGGCTGACGCAGTAATATGTCTGGCCATTTGGCTCGAGCTCTGACTCTGGCTTTGGCTCTAGCTCCAGCTCCAGCTCTGGTTATGTCACTTGATCTTGGGGCACACAAACAAGATAAAACTTTTGATTTATTGTTGACATGCACAACAACAGGCTGGACACCAGAGCAGAGTTTATCGAGCAGCAAAACTAGCTACACAAAATGCGTCCCACACACTCAATGGAATGAGTGGGCGGCAGCAAGGACATGCCTGGACCTGGGCCCTGGTCAGCAGTGTAAAAAGTGTCAACTGTGTCACAGACACGCGCCAAAAATTTGCCTTCAGCCTCAAACTGCAAGCAAACAAAATATTTCTGCCCATGGCTCAGCATATTTCTCCTTAGCTTAAAGAAAATTGGGAAAGCCGACTTTTTCTGCGTGTTTGCTTGTCATTAATTTGTTCAAATATTTGCACAAAAATTAACAACAGCAAAACAACAGCAAAAAATTGTTCTTTTCAGTGCTGCAAATAATTAATTGAAAATATATTTCAACAATTCAAGCGACATTTTTATGTCAATGCAAACAGAAATGCCATAAAAAATTCATCAAAAAATAAATAACTAAAAAACAGCAACAAAAATAAACCTAGACTGTAATTGAAACGAAGTTCGAGGCAAAAATAAAAAAAAAAAAACATTTACATCATCGGCGGCGCTATAGAATGGAGATTAAAGAGGCTTGGGCTACAGTTCGACATAAATTCAAATGTATGACATCACTTGAGAGCAAATTCTTGCTGTTCTCATTGTGGTTGTTATAGCTGTTTCTCTCATAATACTTGCTGTAGCTGTTGTTGCCTGTTATTATCATTTGTAGTTGTAGTTCGAGTATGGAAGCTGACGTCGTCGCTGGCGCCTGCGCCTCGCACGCAAATCCAGCTGACAATTTGAAATGCACACAAACAGCTGGAGGCGCGGGGGTCTGGGAATGGGTTATATCAGTCAGTCATCGCGCATACTTGGGCGCCGAGTACGTGTTTTGAGTCAAAGTCAGCGTTAATGCGATTGATGCAGCTGATATTGTGTTAAAGTAACAGCAAAAAAAGGTTATATCACAGTTGGAACTCAGGCTGCGAATAAAAGTTGTGCACGCAGGTAGTTTTGCTATTGCTTTTGGAGCGGAAATGATTGATAAGTGAAACAGTTGCTCAAATGACCCAAAAAAAAAAAATTAAAACGTTTTAAAAATCATATCCAATTGGCATACAAAGCGCTGCCATTGTGGAGTTCCCAGAAAATGGGTTCGGCTCTTGGGATACAGAAGATGACTCAGTCAATAGCTGGTGACTGTTTCTCTCTACAAATATTTGAGCAACTAATCGACATAGCCTGCGTATTGTAACTGCAGGGTAATTTCAATACTAGTCAGGTAGAGAGAGAGGGAAGAAAGGAGAGTGAGAGCGAACCATTCCCCGCAGCACTTTGATTGTTAACATTCATTGACTAAACTCATTAAACAACTTTTTGGAAAACTCAACTGGAAATTAATTTAAACTTGCGTGCGCAAACAGCAAAAAGCGCGCCAACGAGGCTGGCAAAACTTTCAATTCGCTCGAATTCAATTAAAACTGCTGCCTCATGCTAGCTGCGTATGCGTGATATTGCGCATACGACCCAAGGGCCGCCATGCGAACTGATAGTCGTTACAAAACTGAACTGTCAAAGGATTGTGGTGTCTACAGACAATGACATGCAACAACTACAACAACAACAACATCCAAATGGAATGCACAGCATTAACAACATGACTTTCACAATTTGGGTTTTCTGTGCAACTGTTGCAAGAACATTGCCCTGCTCGGGACATAGTATTGAAGCCAACTGAAACTGTTCAGAGCCAGCGTCATGACGAGGCTCTAGGGGCAATAAGATTACCATGCAAAAAGTAAAGCACCAAAAAAAGTAGATGAAACACACAGGACAATCTGAACTGGCACAGCCAAGCGGCATATTAGATGTGATATGGCTGCCATGTAAGTGGTACGTGCTGCTGCTCCTCCACGCTGTGCTGATAGCAGCAGGTGAAGCATGTGAATGGCACACTGAAACTGAGCAGTTGAAGACGTGAAACTATCAGAGGCAAGATTGCGCTGCACTTGTGTGGAAAAATGCGTTTAGAGCTGCTGCAAGAAATGGAAACAATTTCTCTCTTTTTATTTTCATTTTAGCTCAGCTCCGAAAGCGCTCAAAGGCAGCAGCGATTGGCAGTCGAAAAAAAAAACACTCACAAGTTATGCCATGAATTCAAAATCACATGAAAACAGTTGAAATGCAATGCAATTGGCTTTATGAATAGAAAGTGTAGAGAGTGCCAAGGCAATACCACAAGGAGTTGAAACTGAATATTCAGGATGCATTAATTAATATTTATAAATATATATGCATATGGATTTATATATATATACGATGCCATAGCATGCAGCACAAATCTGGTGTTGAGTTGTTTTTCTAATCGTTCATTGTGGCAACCTCTACATGACTTTCATTATGGACAAGGCTAAAGACTTTGCAGTAGAGCCTTAACAAATGTTGCTGGGCAACTAGGTAAAACTCTTTTCTGTTTGAGCTTGAGCAGTGCATAGACTAGCAGAGAACTAAGTAAAGTCATCAATTTAAGAGCCCTATATGTACTTCAATGGAATTCTCTTTCATTTCTACGTTTCTTTGAACTCAGCAGGGCGCTGGGGCTTGCATGGGTGTAGTTTGGGTTAAAGTAAGAGCAGAGCTTGCATAATTGCGTAGAGCCTGAAAGTCAAATGACTAAAAATCTTTATATGAGACTAAAAGAGAAGTAACTTCGACCATGTTCCTATATCAGTTATAAAAGAGATAGCAGCTATTAATGACAGTGAGCATTATTCTGTGACATATTCATAAGAGTTAATACTTCTGTTTGCAGAGTCTCTTTTTACCACAACTATATATATTATTATGCTATATTGTGGTCGTGGACTTCTCCCTCTCTCTCTCTCTCTCTCTCTCTCTCTCTTTCTCCCTCTCCTCCTCCTATGTGTGCAAAAACTTCAATTTGCCCAATGTTGCGGTTATTTTTTGTAGTTCGATAGGCAACGCATGTGATCAATAAAATGCGCATAAATTAATTAAGAGCGGAAACACAGCTACAATGGCTAGGTCTGTTCATGTTTAGGAATATATTATATGTGGAGCCAATACATTTGGGTGCATGATTGTTTAATGAAACCGCAAACCTGAATTTAGTTTAACATTTCTAGTTGCTTCGGTTCGTTTATATATATTTTTTGCTGGAATTTATGCTAATTATTGGCATTAGGAACTTCAATTAGCTGCCTGCAACTTAATTAACTATGCCCAGAACGGGTTAACTGAAATGGAGTTCAGCTTGTGGGAGAGCAAGAGGAAGTCATTTATTAATTCTTTCCTGTATTGGGATTTCTCTATACACACATATATAAATATCTATTTTCGTGTGCTATTGGTTCGAGTCGTGAGTTGTAAGAATAATGTCGACAATTTGTTAGGCTATCAACCGGTTTGCGAGCATCAAAAATAGCGAACCTAATAATCCAAAAGCATTTCGAAGATTTATGTGGCAGCTGTTCGCATTGAACCCCCGTCAAGAGGTTAACACCAAATGATGCTGCTTTTCGCTTTCAATAGATTGGCTGGCTGATTGATTGATTGACGGACTGACTGGCGGACTGGCTGACTGCTTGAGCGAGTGCCGAGTGATGTGTGGGTGCTTATCTCAATTAAGAAGCACACACACACTCGTCTAGCTTCCTAATTTCGTTGAGTGCTGATTGAGTGATCTTTCCAATATATTTTTATTCTGTTTACATTTAGTAGTAATTTGTTAATTTCATGTCTTTGCCTTCTGCAAAACACTTATTAAGCTATCAGCATTAGAAGTTTGCCATATTTGGTTTCTGAACTATGATCAGCTTAGCACAAGTCTTAAGCGTGTGTTCAAGGTTCATTCAAATTCTACGCATACCCAGCTATATCTGCTGAACACGCCTTTAACTCATTTATCAACATAAAAAAGCAACTTTTGGCCATTTCTCAACTTCAGTTAAGCGAAAATTCCAATGTGACTTGTGACTTGGTCTTTAATTTTGATCTTTAACTTTATGCGAGGTTATAAAAATCAAAGCAGAGGATGTGAGGATAAAGGCAAACATATATCATGCATATACCCTGTAAGGCTTAGCCTCAAGTGGGTATACAGAAAGGGATTGTATGCGAGGACCTTTAAAGATTTGAGAATAATGGTTCTATTCACAGAGTATCTAAGCGGCGTCTCCACTTTCTTGTTTTATAGTACTCGTAAAACTTGACGTTTCGTAAGCCTTTTGGGCTCCGCTGATTGATTTGTTTCGTGTGAGTTTTTATCATTTACGATTTTGCTTTCCGGGAACTGTTCGAGTTTCTGAAATTCAAATTAAAAACACATTTTCGACAGTGAACCGACGGTGACTTCATCGCCAATGCAACTGTCTGCCGATGCTGTAATAAATACACATTCAGCCCAAGCACGCAAGGCAAGTTCATGATCAAGGTCGGCCAGACGCAGTGGGCTATGCCTGCTCACATATATCAGATATAAATTGTCAACGAATGCCATTTGAATGTTGTCTCCCACTGTGAAATGCAATTCAAAGACGCCCATAAATCACTCAAATATCGCCCACTTACACTCATATGGGCGAACAACAGTTTTACGAGTCGATTTACGAGTAGTTGTGGGTGGCGTCAACTTATTGCCTTTACAAGCAAATAAGCAGGCCGGGAGTATACTATAGCTGTTTATAAGTGTATATATATATATATATGTTTATTCATAGCAAACAGACAACAATTACTAAAGTAACTGAGACATAGGCCCATGGCCAATGTCAGGCAATTGTCTGAGGCGTCATCGTTGAGGAATTTGTCGTCGACCCTCAGCTGCCTCCGACTGGCGACAGTCGCAGTGTCTGCCAAAGTTGTCAAGCGAGTTATGCGTAGCAATTGGCTTGGGATTTCAACCTGGGCCTGGCGGCACTTTTAATTTATGTGCGCTTACAACAACAACAGTCAAAATAACGTATGATTAGCAGCAGGAATGACGCATTGCAGTTGGCAATTCGCTTGGTCGAACAGCAGCCGCAGCAGCGGCAGCTGAGCCCAACAGACTTGAATGGCTCAATTATGTGACACAATCACAGACTAGTGCAAAAAGTAATAAAAGAGCACAGGGAAAGCCGTATCGAGCTGGAATATATTCACGTATCTACAAATAATTAACTATTTCCGCAGCTTGTGCAATATGCAGTTCTTTAGTCATCACATCGAAAATCTTATCAAATGCTTAAGCTAATTTATCATTTATTCACTTATTTCCTTATTAGCCTTCACTTAACTAGCTAACATCGCGCAAACTCTTACAGCTGACTAAATAAAATTACGCAAATGGAAATTCTACAGATGCGTAAGCTGCTTTTCATAGCAGCTATGATTCATATAATAAATCCAGTTTACAACTGGCACTTTGATATTAGCTTCTGAATATTATTTAAGTATTCTATATTCAAATTCAATTCCTCAAAAATCTTGTGTAGACCGAAAGAAATTTGCGGGCAAGCGCTGAATGCCTTGGAAATTTCTGCCGCCGCCGAAAAGTATGCAACAAAATTTTAATTTTGCAACGTTGACGACCGAAGATTAAATCCCAAAGAAACGAAGAAACTTTAAGCTAAGCTTCAAATCTAATCATGAAGTTAATTGTGTGTGTCTGCGATTATTGGAGGCATCGACACTACTACAACCGCCCCGTTCCAAATCGCATTCAAATACTCTCCGGCGGCGAGGGCAACACTAAGAGCAAGATTGAGTCTGTGCGCCGCTTGGTCTTGGAGCTGGATGCAGTTAGTGGCAACTATGTGCTACGTGAGCTATTGCAGCAGCGTGTGCTTAAGCAGTGGCTGTTGCAAGTGCTGGGTGTGCGATTGGTATGGCTGAAATTTCATACGCCTAAGTGCTGGGCCATCGACTATAAGTGGGCGGACATGTTGGCGCACAGCATTTGGATGCACATGGAGCTGGAGCACCTGATGTGCTGGCTATCCACCCTGGGCGGCGGCTACTCGGCGCTGGGGGATCAGTTTAACAGCTGCGCACAGACAGCGGGTGAAATATCGCTGCAGCAGCTGGCAATTGGTCTGCGGCTGGGCGATCCCTTCCTGCAGGCACGTTGCAAGCTCTACTACAGCATCTCCTTGATACAGGTCGGACAACTGCGCAGCGCCAAGTATGTAATACGCGCTCAGTATCGATTCGCTTATGGCGTGCAGAAGAAGCGCGACAAGCGCCTGATGCGCATGTGCCTGGGCGTTTGGCAGCGTCTCTGCTATGAGTACGAACAGAGACAGAAAAAACGTATTTTGATTGGAAATGGAAAATGATTTATAATACACAGATTGTACTATTGTTGTAGTTGCGTTTAGTCTTAGGAATAAAATGTTTGTTGCTTAAGTGGCTGTATATTGAGAGAGAGGCACAGAGAGGTGCAGATGAGTAGAGAGTCAGATGAAGAGAGGCAGATATGGGGGAGAGGTAGAAGTTAGAAGAGGGATAGAGAGAGAAACATTTGATGAAGGGCCTAGACATGTTAATAAGCCAAACACAGACATTAAATAATAATGATTGCAAATGTGAAACTAATGCTGCCTGACAACTGGCACAAAGCGGTCATCGTCAAGCCAATAATTAAAAGTTAATTTCAGATTGAAGCCAGCTGCAATGACAACATGAAACAAACTAACGAATTGACAATTTAAATCAGAACTTGAAAGCCATTTGATATTTATGGACAGCTTGAACTATATCAAATGGTGTGTGTCACGCCCAATGGGCCAAGGCAAATGACAAACAAACAATCCAAACAAATCCAAAATAGAATGCAATTGGCAACAGCAACAACAACAGTTAGTTGGCCAATTGCTGAAAGTGTTAAGTGGAAACAAACACACACACACAAACACACACGCACAGTTAGCTAACTGAGAGACAACAAAAGTGTTGACCAAGACACGAGCTTGGGCTGGGTTTGTTGCGAGTGCTTTTTGGTCAGTTAAACGAGCGTCAAATTTGTTTATGAATGAGTCGTTAATAAATCACACAAATCCATTCAAGAATCTCGCGCCAGCTCAATTTGTCTTTGCGTCGGCGTCGCCTCATCCATCAGCGGAAACGTTCGCCAGCGCGTTTTTGTTTCTTAATTTTTTGCATGAAATCAACATTCGCGCAAATATACAAAATATAATAAACAGCATTAGATGTGCTAGCAGTTGAAAGAGTTCACCATCTAACAAATGTTTCAACATTTATTTATGTTCTTCTTTTGCAGCGCTTCAGCACTTTAAGTTGCAATGTAAAAAGTTGCCAAGCGGCTGAAACGAGCGAACAAGGAAAATAAATTGCGTACAGCAAGCAACAACAACAGCAACAAGAAAAACAACAACAAGAGCAAACAACAACTACAACAAGGAATCATTAAGCGTGCAACATGAGCAGCAACCGCAGCCGCATCATGTTGAGCTGCCTAGTTATTATTACCTTAGGTTTATGTAAGTAAATTGCGCATACGGCACGTTGTACAGCCTGCAACTAATTATAATCATATTCCTGCTTCTACAGTGACGTGCACATGCCAGGCGCAGTTGCATATGAGCGCTTCCAGCGCTGGTGTCAGCTTCGGCGATGGGCCAGCCCCACAGAGTGCTGACGTGGCCGTACAGGCCGCCAGGCCGCACAATCGTCGCATGTATGCCATGTGCCCGCCCCAATTCCAACGCGTCGGCACCGATTGCTACTCACTGGTCGATCAGCGCAGCAGCTGGCTCGAGGCGCATTTCTTTTGCAAGGATAAAAACGCTAATCTGGCTGAGCCCGCCAAGAATGCGGACCGCAAGCTCAGAATCTATCTGGAGCGTGTGGATTCGCAATCGGGCGGTAAGAAAAAAAATTACTTAAATTCGATTAAATCTTTAATAAACTTGAATTTGTTACTTTCCAGAACACGATCCCATTTGGATTGGCGGTACCTACGATCATCGTAACAAGCACTGGCAGTGGAGTATGAGTGGACGCAATCTGACCTACGATGCGTTCAACCAAATGGATCCGACGTACGTATGAAACAAAATTTTTATTATATCTTGTAGTTTATTTAGCGGATCTTTAATGTTCAAGCAACTATTTTAGCTATATGCAACTTATCTCCAACAGCAAGCCATTGGACAATAATTGCGCTGTCTACGACCCGAGTTTGAAATATCGTTGGTCGGCTCGCTCCTGTCCGGACAAATTGCGTTTCATATGCCAGCACAAGATGCCAAAAGTGAGTGAGGCGAATCGGTATAAGATCTACAATCGCTGGAATGAAACCTATCCCAATCAATTGGCTAATGAGGTCGTATTGGAGGTCATCGATCGACGTGGCAAGGACCACAGGTACGTACAAATGAACATAAGAGCATTCGACACATTAGGTAACTGCAAGGCAAAAAATATACGTGTTGGTTGCGTCGTTTACATGGTAAAATGTTAATCCACCTTAAGCTGTTTCAAGTGCTGCCTGCGGGCTGCTGCTGGGCGCCTCTTCAGCCTCCTCCTTGGTCGCATCTTCAGCTGCCAAATAGTCATCCCATTTGGATAGACGCTCCTGTGCCTCAGTTGCCGATTCATCAATTCTACAACAGGAAATTCATTTAGTAAAATCCTTATTTATCTTAAGCGGAATGCAGCTACTCACTTGTATTTAGTCTTGCCATCCCAGTGATCAGCGCTAAGCTGTCGCTGTCCAAAGTACCGTCCCTGCATCATTTGTATGACCACATCGGCTTCCTCTGGCGTGGACATGTTGACCTGCGCTATGCCCTCGGGATGGCGCTGCAACGATAACACAGTTAGTTGAAGGCAACAGATAAGGTTTAGATTTCAAGATCTACTCACATCATAGATAACAACTTTGCGCACCATCCCGCATTTGCCGCACTCTTCACGCAGATTATTTTGATATTCCAAGATAAGTTCCACTTCCTTCTCAAACAGCTCCGGCGTGAAGAGATTTTTAATGATGACCGTTTTCTCGTTCTTCGAACGCTCGCCACGCATCTTGTCGGGTCGCCAGTCAAACAATCTGTGAAAACATAAATAAATTTAGCTGACTTTTGACCAAAAAGCTTTCCCAACTCACTTTTCCTTGATTTTCTGCAACTTTTCCTTGTCTTTCTTCTTGCGCTTGGGCTTCAGTGCCGGATTGTATTCCCCGCGCATTTGAAACTGCGCCCGCTGCACGTGTATCTTATGGCCACGCAGATTGTAATCGTCCAGAATCTCTAAAGCCAACTTAACAGACTCCACCTGTATATCGAAAGAAAGAGAATATTATTCTCATTTAAGTAACTAATTGACAACTAATTGCTATGGTTTGTCTGCAGATATCATCGCCGTGTTAAGGCCGAGGGCAGCAACGAGGAAATGATTATTCCCGCTCGCAAGCGGCGTCCGAGCAATCGTCGTTATACCGGACGTAATCGTCAGCAGCAGCATCCCAATGATATCAACTATCAGCAGCGCCCACGCAAGCGCCCACGTGTGAGCACAACTCAGGCACCAGCCCCACTGATCATAAGCAACGACGTGGCATCAACGATTGCGGCTCGTCCGAGCGCGCCCACCACACAGCAACAGATGACGGCCTACGATCGCAAGCTGCAGCGTCAGCGGGAGAAGGAGCGTAACCGGCAGCAGCGTAAGCGCGAGCGCAGGCAGCGCATGCGCCAGGAGAGGCTTGAGAGACAACGTAAGATGCGTGAGGAGGAGCGCCAACGCAAGCAGGAGGAGGAGCATCAACGTCAACAGCAGCGAGATCGTGATCAACTGCAGCAACAGGAGCCGCAAAGCGAGCCCGAGGCACTGCGTCAGCGCGCCATTGAGGAGCAGCAGAAACAAGAGCGCGAGCAGCGAGAGCAACAGGATAAACTGGAAAAACAGCAGCGCAAAGAGCAACAGGAACGCGAACTGGAGCGGCTAAAGCAACAGCACGAGAACGACGAACGCCAACGTGCCAAGGACGACGAAGCGCTGCGGCTGCGTGAACAGCGACTGCAGAAGCAACGAGAGCATGAGGCCGAGGAGAAACGCGCTCGCGAAGAACTGCTGCGCAAGCAGAAGGCTGAACAGGAGGAAGCTGATCGCCGTTATGCGGCGGAACGTGCAGCTGAGGAGAAGCGTTTGCGCGAAGAGCACGAGAAGCGACTACTGGAGGCCAAGTCGGAGCAGGAGCGTAAGCTGCAGGAGGCACAAGAGGCGAAGCGTCGCGAAGAAAAGGCTATTGAGGAGCGACTGCAGGAGCAGGAACGCCAGCGCCAGGAGAAGATACGTCGCGAACAGGAAGAGGAAGAGAAGCGTTTCGAACTGGAGCGTCTGGAGGAGACGCGCCGCTTCGAGCAGCGCGAACTGGAGCGCCTACACGAAGAAAATGAACGCCGCGAGGCCCGTCAACGTCAACGCGAGGCAGAAATTGCCCAGCACGAGGCCGAGGAGCGCAAGCTAGCCGCCGAGGAAGAGCGACTGCGTCAGGAACTGCAGGAAGAGGAAAAGGCACGCAAACGCCAGCTGGCAGAGGAAATTGAGCGCACCGAGCAGGAGCGCAAACAAAAAGAGGAGGCTGAAAAGGCAGCGGAGGCAGCCAAGGCCGAGCAACAGAAGCAGAAGATCGAGGCAGCCAAGCAGATTGCCGATGCCGAAGTCGCTGCCCAGCTAGAGGAGAAGCGTCGCCAATACGCAGCTCGCATAGGCGCTCTGAGCAAAGAGGATCAATTGAAGTTCATTGAGATGCGAAAGAAGCGCAAGCAACTGCGTGAGAAGCAGATGAAGGCCAGGGAGCAGAAGAAGCTCAAGCGAATACAGGAGGCTATAAACGAGATGCAGTAAGACGTACGCACACACACACACACAGGCACAGGCACACTAACCTACACTAATGCAACAGAAAAGTAAACATATCGTAAACAAATGTTCTTGGGCGTAAACGTGTTTTGTGTTTTTTTTTCTCACAGTTTTCCTTTTGTTTTATGCGAACACGTGAAAGTATTATTTACAAAAAACATAAAAAAAAAACAAATTAAAGAAAACGTTAATTAACAACAATAGCAGCATTTGCAATAGTCGTGCACCTTTTCGAAAATATGCGTAAAATGAAATATTTCCAGGCAAAAGTTCAAGCGCGCACTCAATATCAAGCTCTATATAGTAATGTACAGCCAATATACATATATATATACTATATATACAAATCTATAATATGATATATGATTAAACTAGCGTATAAACACACTCAAGCACACACAAGCACACGCACACCCACACAGTTTCCTTAATAACCAAAATAGCAATTAGCTAAAAAGAAGAAAAGAAAAAACAACACAATTTTTATATAAATTATTGAGCACAGAACAATGAGTAAATATTAGAGCAGAATAAAATGCACAGTAATCTTAAGTGGACGTCTCGTTCGTCTCGCTCCTCATTTTGTCAGCCCGACGGGTCTACAACTTACTCAGAAGGCGATGCCTTCTCCTACTGCTCCTGCTCCAGTTCCTTCTGTCACCCTACGAGATGCTGCGACCAGGCCAGGAAGCAATAACTTATAAGCCTAACATGATATGAGAACCTTTTTATATAACTGCAACAACTATCTATAAAATGCCTAAACGTGAAAAATATATATATAAATAATAAAAATAAAGAAGAAAAACCCATTGCAAAGGCTAAGCGTAACTATTGTACTAACTAACTAGGTTATATATAAATATATTTTATATTTAATAATTATTGTATGTTTAAATGTAAATTTATTGTATTTTTTAATATGTACCTCAAAAGCGAATTGCAGAAGAAGAAGAAGAGCAAAAAGAAGAAGGAATGAAACGGAAATGTATTTCTCGTAACATCATCAAATATTTTTTTCGAATTGTGTTTTGTTTGTTTTCAATGAAATGAAAGTTAAGAAATGAAAAGCAATTTTTAGTAGCCAAGTAAATGCATTTTAAAATTACCAAGTAAACAAACAACTAACCAATTTATAAACAATTATATAAATATATATATATACATACGATATATCATTATTATATAATAAACACAGAGAACCGAAATAGTCAGCAGAACTAAGGTGAATATTTAAAATATGTATGAGAAAAGCTAAGAATACAAAGCAAAAACAAAACAAAAACAAACACAAAAACTGAATATTATGAGCATATTATAATAATAAAATAACATAACATTACATATTAAAATATCTATAAAAATTAACGCAAGCAGTTTTAATTTAGTAAAACAAACAAATAAAGTTTTAAACACAACACTGAAAAAGCAACAAAAAAAAGGGTTTTTTCTTTTTATTTTAGCAAAACACTTCATTCAGACTGCAATAACAAGTCGAGATATATTTAACTTGAAGTTCCATTCGAAAGAGGCCTAAAACAACGCTACTTTAGTGAGAATTAAATGTGGCACATAAAACTGCAAATTGCAAGTTTTAGTCTAGAGCGAAGATGACCTCCACTGACTCTAGGCTGTTGCTTTTAGGCCAGAAACTGAGCAAAGCTAACCTTAGCCAAGAGACCATTGCTTGTTTCAAAATTAAGAGCTCTACCTGACTTTATTTAATGCCAACTACATTATAGACAGAGAAGCGCTCATCCAATAATTTCACCCTTTTAGACTAAATGTTCTCAATCAGATCTTCTGCTAACACTGGCTAAGCACTTGCCTCTTAGAGTCTAATGTTGACATCAACACTCAATGGCATTCATCGTTTCATTCTTCCCTTTCTTAAACTCTTAAAGGAGTCTGATCAAACCTAATACTTACCTTTATATAGTCACATAAACCATCGCCTTTGATTTGCCCATCCGCTTCGGTGTACAATTTCAGTTTGTATTTCTGTGTTTGCGGATCACGCATGACTAAGCCGCATTTGCCCATCAGCTCAGCGAACTCATCGATGGTAATATCCAAGGGCAAATTGGAGACGTAGACTTTGGTGTTTTGCGTGGGATCCATGTCAAACCATTCTGCAAAGTTAAGCAAATATATAAGTTACATAGAAGTTGTAGCTCAAGTGACTTCGTTTACTTGGCGGCTCCTGAGCCTTGCGCTTGCCGGCCACAGCTGCCGTTGGGACACCATCTTTGCCAGCCAAAGGGGCATTCATGGCCGCCTGTGCCTCGGCTGTCATGCGCTTCAATTCCTCCGCCTTGCGCTTGGCCTCAGCTGCCTCGCGCTCCTCCTTCTCGCGCTCACCGGCGCTGGTGTTGTCTATGAAACCATAATTCATCTGGTAGCGCGCCATGAAGTCGTCATCGATCTTTGGGAACCATGCCGACTTGCTGGCATCCCAGAAGAAGACTGCACCATCCTTGTCTGTGTAGGTGCGATCGCCGTTCTCGTCGACGCCATAGACCACATCCTGACCGGGCGCTGCCTGTGGCTGCTTCTTAGGCAACCACTTCTGCTGCTCCGCGTCCCATTTGTAGTGCTCCGTTTCGGTGGCTGTGGTGCCGGACTGCTTGGGCAGCCATTGCTGCGTCTCCTGGCACCACTTGTAGTGCTCGTTCTCATACAAATTGCCAGCACTGGACGCCTCATCGGCGGACAGTGGCTGCCAATTGTTTTGCGTGTTACACCATTTGTACTTTTGCTTTGTGCTAGGATCCGTGTAAATGGCGCCACCATCGGCCGCATAACTCACATGCTGTTCGTAGTCCGCAAAGTCCTGCTGCGCGGCCTCCTTCTGGCCGACCAGGTCAGGCGATGAATCGCCTGCTGTGCGGCAGCTTATGGCATTGGGGCTCTCCTTCTCAGTTTCTATATTTGAGGCTGTTGTTGTTGAGGTGGTTTCCTTGGCCAACGTTTCGCATTCCTTTTGAGGTCTATCGGCTTCTAGCTGCTCAGCTGGAGAGTTGGAGGCTGTTTCGTTTTCCTTGGAAGCACTTTCACTCTCATTGGCTGCTTTCTCCAACTCCTCGTGTTCCACCTCGCCAACCTCTAGATGGCTTTCAGTTGGCTGGCTCATTTCTGTGCGAATTCTGTAATTATAGAGCGTTGTCCAACGCAGAGAAGTAGACTACGTTTTAGTGCTTTGCAGCTAATTTCCAGTTAATTTCATATTTTTCGTATATTTCCTGGCCACATAATCAAACAGGCCACGCGACACACGACGAACGCAAGACGGCAAAAATAAATTAGAAAAACGTGCTCATGACGTTGACATTGTGCCACGGCAACCAAAATACAAATATTTTTGCACCTTTTGCTTTAGCTTTTCCTTTTGTAAACACAATTCACACGCTGATTGCGGCTTCGGCGCATGGGTCAAGCTGCGGTGGGGTGCATAACCCAATCAAATGCAAACGAAATGAAAAGCACACGAAACGCCCCAAAACAAAACGAAAAAAAAACGATCAAATAAAAATGAAAAAAGAAAAGAAAAAGAAAATAATCCGACGAAAAGGCGCACCAAATTTCGTTTTTATAGTGCATAAGAGCTGAATAAAGTAGCTGAAAGTTAACGAAAGCCACAAGCCTGAGATACCCTGTAAAACTAATAAAAATCTATAAACGAACAGATTTTGAAAGAGATTATATATATATATTATATATAATATTTGCAGTGTGAATTATGCTCAACTATTTCTTTCATGATTATCAGCCATATAAAACAGTTCATATATATATAACAGATAGAGCACATAATCACTTATATCAGTTCTAGAAGCTGTTATGACTATATCTTAAACCTAAGCTTAATCTGATCTAAGCCACATAATTGCCTGCTCAGCCGTACCACTCCTTACTGCATAGCCTTGAGCAGGGTATGCCTTGCTTGACAGCAGCTGTTGAAGGTCAAGCAAACAATTCTATTTATTTTTGGCAGCTTACCCCAAGGCCCTTTCATCTAGCAGCTACAAATCGATTGGCTTTAAGCAAGTTCAATCAACCGACCCGCAGGTGGAGAGTTTAGTTGGTGACAACTTGAATTGGCCGCCCCAAAATACCGATTGATTTGTGTTGCTATTACAAGAGACTTGAGAGTTGGCGCAGCTGTCTTCCCGGTTCCAGCCATGTTTGCGTCAGCGGCAAAGAAAACGTTCACAGCGGGTTCAATGTACGCGCCATTAATTATAACAAGTTGAGGCATATATGGTAAGTAGTCTATTATTGGTATTGCTATTGCTACACCTCACTAAAAATATTTATGTACAGCCCAATTGTCGACCTCTGGCAGAGTTCAATGGAACGCGTCTTTTGTGCAAATTTGCATTTGCAAAAGTTTTCGAGTGGCGCGAGTGGCGGGGCCTATGGTAACTGGCACATTGGCCGACAGTCGGCACACATATCGCCAATGGAGGCATGCAACAGCACTTGACACCACCTTCGACCACCATAACTGCAGCCAGTTGCAGTTGGCCAGCTGAACACACACAAAGTCGCTGGGACGATACTCGTAAATTACTCAGACAGGCATACGACCACACATACATACGTATCTATGCATATATACATATATATAAAAATATATATAGTCATTTTACTATAGATATAGCTTTGCATACAGGCGTAGCCAGCGCTGTGCCTTCGTGTTGCACAAAATGTGGCCACACCCCGTCATATGATATAGCCAATTTTTTCTATTGGTTTTGTAGATCATAAATAGAACATTCCGATAACTGGCGTACGAGCTGAGTTATTGTCAGAGATCGTATCGCCCTGACTGGATTGTTCTTTGCAAAAGTATGAAACAACAAGCGAGACGGCCATATATGATTAAGCGGAACAAAAAATTCAATTAAACTACTATTTAATCATTTGTTTATATAAAAAGGTTTTGTTTTTGATGAATGATTGCTTGACTGCTCTCAGACTGACAAACTGACTAAATGTAAGACTGACTGACAGACAGAATCATTGATTGCAACTGAGAAACAGACTGACTGACTGATATGAATTGATTGATAGGCTGACTGACTGACTGACTGATTGACTGATTGACTGATTGACTGAAAGGCAGACTGACTAAAATGGACATATGGACTGCTTCAGCCTGTCAATGGCTAACTGACAAAGTGAGAACTCGTCTGATAGATTGACTGATATGAACTGATTGATAGATTGACTCTCTGCTTGACTGAATGACAGACTGACTGATTGACTAAATGACAGACAGACCGAAAGACAGAATCATTGATTGCAACTGAGAAACAGCCTGACTGAGTAATATGAATTGATAGATAGGCTGACTGACTGACTGACTGATTGACTGAGAGGCAGACTGACTAAAATAGACTGACTGATTGACTGAAATTCGCTGAGTGACATATTAATTAATTCACTTTCAGAATGATAGATTGAAGACAGGCTGAGAGACACACTGATTAACTGATATAAACTGATTGATTGATTGACTTGAGCTGATAGACTATTGATTCACTGGCAGACTGGATGAATCAGTGACAGACTGGACAACTGTCTGACAGTCTTTAAGCTTGAGATCAACCCTAATTGACTGACGACCCTAATCTACCTGACTTAAGGCGAAGTCTATTTAAGAAGCTGAACTTCTAAGCAATGTTATTTGATCTACAATGAATTCTTTGGTCTACAGCCTCAAACAAAACTCAGTTTGATAGCCATTTAACCATTTCTGTGACTAAACTCATATCTACTTATATAGACACTGGACACCTTAGACACAGGTGAGCAATGGACTTAGCAATAAGCCAAGCTATGGATTTCCTAGGAACAATGCATTATAATATGTAAAGCTCTATAATCGAAACGTTAATGAAGCACACGCAGCTCTTTAACTGTGAATCGCAAGGCCTACAAATTGCGTAAAGGGTTTCAAGGCCAAGCTAAGCAGGAAACAAAGAAAATAAAACGCACCGCAATTGCATAAGAATCGAATGGAAATTTTCTCATATGGGCCAAGAAATCAATTAATTGGCGCAAATTGTCTGCGAAAATGCAAGTGTGGGCCATGATCTAGCTATTTAGTTGGCCAACAGACGGCATTCATTAGCAGGCGCGGCGCCTTAAAGGCCATAAAAAGAATAAAAAGAACCCCCAATTAGCAATTGGTGGAGAGCGCCATTTCGCTCCTTTCTCCTGCTGTTTTCATTTGTTTCTTGTGCTACTTTACATACAAAGTAAACGAATTAATTAACTTTTAGTGCAGAAATCGGAGAAATTCCAGCAAAAATGTGTTTCGGCCGAAAACTTCTGCCAACTTTGTTATGCAAATGTCAACAGGTCAGCGATTCGTAACGCCCAACCTGACTCGACTGGCCCATATATATATTTAATGTTATTTTTAACATTTGCAGCTAGAGATTTGCGCACATTACTCACAAATGCCATTAACTGAAGCCAAGTTTGAGGCCATAACCCCAAAACGTTCACACTTTCGAATAACTTAACTTGAACACGAGCAGCTACACAATAGTGCGCCTTGGGTTAGGGTGACTCACTATTGAGACGAATATGGCCAGCTAAATAGTCGTATAGCCGCATACTCGCATGGTGGAGCGAAGCTGCCTAAGCAACCAGGCGTACAGCACAAACATTTTCATAGCATATTTATGGGGGCAGCCCAGTCAGTCAGCCAGGACGACTAGTTAGGCTAGCTAAAAAACCAGCCAGCTAGAGTGGGCGTCTAGGTAGGGGTATGAGTGTGTGTGTCGGAGTGTATTGGTGTATGTACAAGTCCTGGCTAGAACTGGGCAGCCCTTGCGCTAGCTTGACCAGTACAAGCCGAAACGTTCAACTGACCACAAGTGCCGATTGGCTTAACGGGCTAACGATACGAAGTCTATAGCTGCCAATATCAGAGCTACAAACACGCAATGACAAATGCTGTTAACTGTATATGTTCATAGCTATATATATATATATATATATATATATATACATCACATGTAGTTGGTGATAAAAATTTCAAATGAGTGCAGCCGGCAAATTATGCAAAAGCCTAATGTCAAAATCGATAAAACCAACAAAGAAATTTAAATAAAAAATTAAAAAGAACAACAAGCAAAGCACTTACGTATATATAGATATATATATAGTGAAATATATAGTTAAACAAGATGGATATACCTAGCAGCGGTGCAATATTTACGCTTGGCAAATCGCACTTAGCGGAAAATACGCAAAGCTATTTCTATATCAAAAACGATCCGGTCAAACGCTTGATATCCGGCCCGCATCAGAGTGCGGTCATATGCGGTAAAGTGGCTAAGAAACATAAACTGACTCAGCTAACTAAAAGCCTGACTAGCTAGACTGCCAGACTGCCAGACTGTCTGTCTGCCTGTCCGTTCACCTGTCCATCTGTCTGGATTTCTGCTTGCCTGCCTGCCTGCCTGCCTGTCCATCAACTGGTGCTGCTCTGCCCCAAACTGTGTGCCCTTTTGTATATTTGAACATGCTCAAGACGAGGTCCACTTGCCCGATTATCTTTTGTGGTGTCTGTGGCAGGTTTCGTGGCACTTGCCATGTTGCATGTTCGCTGCAATTTACTCTCAACTACCAAACACGCATAGCACTTTTACTTTTATGTTAACCCAACACAGTTTGTAGCAACTCGAAACGATAGCTCAATTGCAGGAGATCATTAGACTAAGACTGGAATGGATTTGGCATTATAGTCCATTAGATTACATAACTCTACAAGCTCCAGCAAACTCTATGAGCTGCAAGTCAGTTTAAATAGCGCTGAGCAAGCACTCCAAATCAGAGCGCTGTTCGGGCATCTAATGAGGTCAGCTAAAAGGGGCGGCTGGGGGCTGTGGCCATAAATATGGGCCAAACTCACGAAGCACGTTAAAGGAAATAAATCGTCGACGAATGAGTGAGACCAAAAGGCGAAAACCGAACGCGCGTTCGTAATTGAAACGTAAAGCGGGTCAGGTAAAATGAAATAGTTGAAAGCAGTTCTTTGGACAGTTGAACATTTTGGGCTTTGGATTGACAGTGACACACACACACACATATATATATATACACACATATATATAAACGCCAACACACACGCAATCAATAAAACTTACAAGCAGCAACTAAACAAAAGGTGAAATTGGTCAAAAGTTGATGTCAAAACGTTCTTATCAATTACAGAATCGGGTCGTCTTTTTGTTTGGGGCGAGAATCATTATGGCCAACTGGGCATTGGCGGGCATGCCAACAAAAACAACAACAACAACAGCAGCAATAATGGTGATATAGTCAGCAAGCCCACTTGCGTTAAGTCGCTAAAAACTTTGGGCTTAAAGATAAGCGATGCGGCCTTCGGCAACAATTGGGCCGTGATAATGACGCGTAAGTACGAACAGAGCATGGCAAACAGAAGAGGCTAAGAGTTAACTCATATGGCATATACATATAATAAGCTAACATTAAACTAAAAGTTGTTTTCTCAATTCATTTCTAACTATAAGCAGCAGCTAGTTAATTTACTAACCATTCAACAAAACAAACTTATAATTAACACTGCTACAACTCTGTCTCCCTCTCTCGCTCTCCCTCTCTCTCTCTCTCTGTTTCTCCCCAAGTCTCCAATGAGATATTCTTTACGGGTCGAAATATATTCCCCATGGACACGCACGTGGCACAGCACTTTATAAATGCTCTTGTCGAAGAGCAGCCATGCGCTATTATACGAAAGCCTTTTCGTTTGGAGGAATTTGACGATTATCTGTCTAAGAACGAGGAGACGGATAACTTTGTGGCCTTGCAGGCGGGCAATGAGCATTTTGCAGTGCTAACCAGTGAGTAGAGAGTTGAGAAAGACTTCAAAGCAAATCCTCAGTTCGCGCTTGAAATTTTTGCAGGCAAAGGTCGCTTGATTGGCTGCGGCTCGAATGCCAAGCAGCAGCTGGGCGATTTGGATGCGGACTATGACGGCCATCCCGTGGAGATATGCCTGGATGCTGCAGTGCAGCAGTTTGCATGTGGACCAGAGTCAACGCTGGTGCTGACAGGCAGTGGAAATCTCTTTTTGACTGGCCGCCTCAATGAGTTTGTCTTTCCCAAGTTCACGGAGCTGCAGAAGAATCTCTCGCAGACAGAGCAGATCATCTTCATGCACATATCGAAGGCGAGCGAAATCTTTATTGTGACCAATGTGGGCAACATCTATCGCAGCTTCGAATCGCTGCGCAACAAGAGCTTGGTCTTTCAGCGGTTCTATGACTACGACAGCGAGGAGAATGGACCCATTTGGAAGCTACTGAAGGGCTTCTCCTTCTATGCGGTGCTCAGCAAGGCCAACAAATTCTTTACCACGTTCTCGGAGAGCGGCCATCATCTGAAGACCTTTCGCGAGATCTCCAAGTTTAAGAATCTGCGTCTGCTCGATATAGCCGTTGGCGATCAGCATATTCTAGTCCAGGGCTTGCCCAGATCGTCCGCCCTTTCTGCTACAGTGGGCACTCCTGCGGATGCACACTGCAATATGAGCCGCAGCTTTGTGCTACAGCCAAAAGATCTCAATGGCAACATGGAAATGCGAAGCGCCAGCGGCAGAAGTCTGACTAAGCAACAGGCATTGAAGGAGGCGGAACCAGAAACGGAAAAGGACAAGAACTCTGGACTCATGGGTGCTAGCGTCGCAGCGGTTGGTGCCTCTGTGGCCACGCTGGAGGCAGTGAAGCACATTTCAGATGAGCAAAAAAACAGCACAGCTGAACCGGAGCACAGCACGGCAAAGGAACAAGAAGAGCATGAACAAATGACAGAGATGGAAGCAATAAATGACAATGTAAATGAAGAAGCAAGTGAAGAAAAGAAACAAGAACAGGAGCCCAAAACAGAAGAGTTAAATGGCAACAAGGAAGAGCTGTTAGTGGAAGCGAAAATAGAGACGCCAGTTGAGGCCGTAGCAAGCGAAGCAACGCCTCAAAAGGAGAGTAAGACAAAGGAAATAGAAGTGAAATCAGAGCAAATGGAGCCCACGGCGCCTGAGGAGAGTCCGATGAAGCAAGCCACAAATGCAACTGCAGTGGAAGCGCTAGCTAAGTTACCAACGCCACCTGCAGAGACGCCATCACCTCAGCAATCACCAGCAGAATCGGTCAAGTCCAAGCAGTTGACAACCGAGGAGCAGCCGCCCACAGCGAGCAGCCAGGAAAAGCAGCTGCGTCCGCACACGCCTTACCCGGATAGCAGCAATGCGAGCACACCACAAACTATTAAGAGAACGCCTATACGCAACTTCTCCTATGAGGCGGCCATGAAGCATGATGAGATTGAGCAAACCTCGCCGGAGCTTGTGGACAGCTTGGATACAGTTGAAGAGAATCCATTGGCTGAAAGCGCGTCTACAACAGAAATACAAATATCTACGCCCACGCCGCCTACCGAGGAAGATGAGCAGCTGGCCGTTGAGATAACGACCACGGAGGACGCGCTAGACAGCAGCAAAGTGGTAAATGAGATACGTTTCATTAACAACGGCGTCGATGTGACTGCCAACGTTGAGAAGCAAATGCCTGACACGCCACTGGCTGAGTTTGTGGATGATCTGGAGTCGGAGGGTGAGCAAATGCTGGATGATCTGGAGCAGCATGTTGACAAGGTGGTCGCAGAACAGAAATCAGAGGCTGTCAAAGCCACAGCAAGCGTCGGCGATGCCATCGAATCAAAGCTGCAGGACGCGGGAAACTCGGTGCAAACGGCTATGCACAATGTGGTGACAGGTGCGCGTGATACTGTTGAAACTGCGGGCGAGCGCATGGTAAATGGTGCACGACATGCTGTCGACGCAGCTGGCAAAGGTGCCCAACGCATGGCAGATGGAGCCCGAGAAGCTGTTGATGCGGCAGGCAAAAGCGCGATGCGCATGGCTAGCGATGCTAAACAATCTATGGAACAGGTGGGCAGCAATGCAGCCAAAGTAGCAACAAACACAAAAGAGTCCATGGGCAGAGCCATGGACTCAATGACCAGCAAGATATCTAACGAAGTGCATGGCGCCAAAGAGAACATATCATCGCTGTTTCAAATCAAAGCGGCCAAGGAGTCGCAGCCCATGACAACGCCAACAACGACACCGGAGGATGTTCGACCAAAGCGAAGCATTGAGACAGCTAACTCTGGCGACTTAGAGGCAGAGGGCGAGGAAGATGAACGTACCACGGCCTCGGTAAATTCAAATCACAATTCCGCTGCCCATAGCAATGGCAATGGCAATGGCAATGTCTTTGAGCCCATGAACAGCAATAGCCATGCCTTTGAAGAGGATCCACTCGATGCGGTTGTGGAGCGTAGCAAAAAGGCAATGCAAGAGGAGCTGCGCGCTTTGGAAGAGCAACGCGCCCAATCACACGTTCACAGTAAAGGCGAGCAACAGCGCAGACAAAGCACAGAGAGCAAAGGCATAGTCCAGCAATTTCTAGATAGTGTGCGGCTTTCGTGCCGGAACGAGAAGGCCGTACAAATCGAGGGTGAGCATCGTTAAACGTAATAGTAAAATAGATTGTTAATTCATACTAACCTGTATCCGTTTACCGGCAGATGAGCCGCCACCGCCGACGCACCACAATAAAAACAAGGTCAATAGTGAGCTGAGCCTGCAGAATGGCCAAAATGGCGAGCAGCAGTCGTCACGCGTGTGCACAATTTTATAAAAACGAAACGCACTACCTACTAAGAAAAGCGTACACTTTTATAAATAATTGCATTTGATTTTAATAAATAAACTTGCAGTTGCAATTTCGCATTAGAAATGCGTGTTTTTACCCATTATCTATCGATTACTTATTTCAACTATCGATTAGCAGATTTACTTCGATGCGTTAACAAGTGAATGGCAACTGTGTTGCTCCAATGCTCGCACAAAGTGACTTCTATCATATATAACAAAATAGTATTTTTTACATGTACTTCTTTTAACATATTCGAACTAAATATGCTTTGTATAAATTGATTGTCAAATTTGGACACCTGTCATAGGTGATGCGCTATTGCAATGCACCTGTGACAAGTCGCAGGTAGGAAAATATACCATCACTAAATTGCACCAGTTCAACGAATCATTTGTACCAGTTCTTTCGCGTCTATTTGGTACGCAAACAGTAAAAGCAAAAAAAACAATTTTTACTATTTTTCTACGTTTTATAAATGAATACAAAACAATAAATAATGCTTTAAAGCATAGTTTTAATTGAATTACTAACGAAACGCGTGCGTGGTGCACACTTGCCTGGCCCGCGAAAAATCCAATCAGAAAACGAAAAGGCCAGCACCAGCACAAAATGGAAAGGTAGGTCAAAGAGTGAGCGCGCCCAGCGTACAGAGTGTACATGCCCGAAATAAAAAACGCTCGCCTGAAGGGTATTAGTGTTATTAAACATGTGAAAATAGTGAAAATTTCAATTGGCCCATAACCTCAAAAGAGTTTTGGTTTTCGCTGCTGTTATAATGTGAGTGCCTATGTATATGTGGCTGTATGCGTGTATGAGTGTATATGTATGTGTGTGTCCGAGTGGCGCGTTGTGAAGACGTCGACGTCGACTGAAAGTGGTTGTCGCTTGTCGGCGAAGAGGGCGACGAGAAGCAGAGCCGCGGACAAGGTGAGAAGCGCGAACGCGAACGTGAACGACAAGATCGAATGTGGAAAAACTACTTTAGAGTGGACTTCAAAAATACGAAAAACATCGTTCTGCATGTCGCCGCCAAATACACAAATTCAAAAGGACGACCGCGACAGGCAACCAGGCTTACAAACTTTCCCACCAGCATAAAAACTATCGAGTAATACTGTTGAAAAACACATGTAATTCGCGAGAAAGTAACACGCTGTCAGTTCGCTCCATAACGTGAATGTGTGTGTGTTCGATTGCGTGTGTAAGTGAATGTGTGTGTGAGAGTGTAAGTATGCATGTATGAGAGAGTGGGGGAAACGGCGACAACAGCAGCAGCAGCGGCAGCAATTGGAACGTGGAACCTGTCGGCACACGTAAAAACCAGAGCCAAAAATTCAAATTACATGCATTGGGCGCGTTTTCAAATGCATAATCGCTAACACTCTTATAATTTATGCTAAACACTTGTTAGAGAGCAGAACTTTTTGCCATAACAATGGCCGTTAGCAGACACCGAGCACCAGCCAAACCAATTTGATGAATAATTTAAATGGTATTATAATTTCTTAACATTTCGCAGTTAGTTTGGGAATTCCTCACATATTTTTGCATACGAAAAAGTCGAATAACATGTAAAGATGCCGCCAAACTATTCACTCACTCAGTCGCGCTCTATCAGAGCTGACCGAAATCACGATGTGATGATCACTGTGACATTTGTATTCAATATCTAAATAGGTTATCAAATTCGGTCATTACAGAGGTTTGTTTATATTCATGCTTGACATTCTGATGCAATGGCAACAAGAAATTATTTACTAACCGTACCAATCAGCTGTTGCAGCTAAATAAACTTATCGATATTAGTCACTTTTGCTTATCAGTCACAGTTTTTACTTACGATGCAAGAAATCACAACACTGCTCATCTCTAATCTCACTCTATTTCTCTCCCTCTCTTTGTCGCAGGCACTAACTAACACAACAACAAGAGCAGCAGAAACCACAATCAGGCCAGCCAGCATGTCGTGGCATTTGTGAGCAGCGCGCCAAAAACTTGTCACGAAGTTTCTTGTTATTGACGTACGCTCCCGCGCTTAGAGCCACACTTCCCCATCCTTCTCCACACGCACACTAACACTAACACTAACGCATACACATATATAGATTTACACCCACACATACATACACCCGCCCAGTTCTGACGTCCAATCCTTAAGTGCTTAGATAGAGAGAAAGAGGCAGCTTATGATGCATATCAAGAGCCTGCCACACGCACATCAGGCCGCTGCGGCTATGAGCAATTGCGACATTGTGATTGTTGCCGCGCAACCGCAGACCACGAGCGCGAACAACAACAACAGTGACACTGTTACACAGGCCAGCCATGCCAGCCATGTGGCAGCTGTGGCGCATGCACAGCACCAACAGCAGCAACAGCAACAACAGCAACAACAGCAGCAGCAACAACAGCAGCAACAACAACAGCAGCAGCAGCAACAGCAGCAGCAGCAGCAACAACAACAGCAGCAGCAGCAACAACAACAACAACAACACAATCAACAGCAACAACAGCCGCCCGCGCCCACAGATGTATCCCTTCCTTTCATGCATTTGAGTGGAATTTCAGCGGAGGCACACAGCGCCGCTCAGGCGGCCGCAATGGCAGCTGCGCAGGCCGCGGCAGCGCAAGCCGCCGCCGCGGATCAACAGCAGCCAACAGCACCACCTGCACCACCAACGTCGCATACGCTGGCCCATTTGGTGGCCAATGCTACGCACAGTCCCACGCTCGGTGAGACGCACTACGTCAGTAACGGGCACTCGAACAATGAGCATTCGGGGGAGGGCAACGGATCGAGCGGCAGCGGTGGCGGTCGGGAACCAGAAAAACCGTTCCATTGCACAGTGTGCGATAGAAGATTTCGCCAGTTGAGCACACTGACCAACCATGTGAAGATCCATACGGGCGAGAAGCCCTACAAATGCAATGTGTGTGATAAGACGTTCCGTCAATCGTCAACACTGACGAATCATTTGAAAATTCATACCGGTGAAAAACCGTACAACTGCAACTACTGTCCCAAGCATTTCCGTCAGCTGAGCACATTGGCCAATCATGTTAAGATTCATACGGGTGAGCGTACATTTTGTAAGGCAATTATGATCGCAAGCTAATTCTAGCCTCTTTTGCAGGTGAAAAGCCGTTCGAATGCGTGATATGCAAGAAACAGTTCCGGCAATCGAGCACGCTCAACAATCACATAAAGATCCATGTCATGGACAAGGTCTATGTTCCTGTCAAGATCAAAACGGAGGAGGACGAGGGGTGACTAGGACGCATGGCGTTGGCGCAACATCATCATCTACATCAGCAGCAGCAGCAACAACAACAGCAGCAGCAGCAGCAACATCATCAACAGCCGTCAACGCCATCCCAGCAACAACAACAGCAACAGCACCACATCGAACATCAGCGTGGAGTTACCATTACAACGCTCCCATCTACAACGACAGTGGCGCAGCATCAACAGCAACAGCAGCAGCAGCAATCACATCTACAAACCTCGCATGGCAATGGCAGCTCGCCGCATCATCATTTCAATGTGGCCGCCTTGGGTGATTTATCCAGTGCAATGCAACTGGGGGCCGTGACGGCCGATGGCAATTTTGTGACCATGGGTGGCGTTGTAGTTGGCCGCATACAGCATCCGCGAAGCGAGGATCTCCATCATCTGGGCGTTATCAAAGTGGAATCGCCAACGAATGGCATTGTCAATGTCGCAGGGGCTGCACAACGTGACGGATGAGTCGATAAGCTGCTCCTCGAGCCAACGCTCAAGGAGCTCGTTGAGCTGAATGATATTGCGTATGTGGAGCTGGAGCACGAACAGCAACAGCAGCGACGACGACGGCGACGGCGTTGCCACGAAACATAGACTGTAAACTGGCTATTATTGTCGTTGCAGTCGCTGTTGTCGCTGTTGTTGTTTGTGGTGTATACGCTTACGTTGTTGTTAGTTGTTTAATTGTAGCGAAACCTTGTTGTTGTTGTTAAGATTTAAACTGAGAACTTACTAAGATGAATTATCAGGCTTAACATTGGCTAGCTCTCACTTATTTCTAGTTGAATGTGTTATGAAAGCGTATTAGAAATCTGAGATGTTAGCTGAAACTAAGCCTGAATATGTATAGCAAAACGCTTCAATAGTAGCTAAAGAAAGGATATTTTAGCCAACAGCAGCTAGCGCTCCAGGGCTATGCCTAAAAAGAAAAACGAAAGATCAGAGAAACACACTCAAACACACACACACACACACACACTTACGCATCCACAATCACTTAACGAGGCAATAGGTTTACAACAAGCTCCCTCTCAACCTTCTACCCACTCATACACACACATAATAGCTAACTAACTGTAACTGGTAGCGCAAACTCCTAAAAATAGAAAGAAAGAAGAATGAAGTTCATTGATAAGCAAAAAGTCATTTCGTTTAAGTTGAAAGTGAAAAACACAAAGTGCAAACAAAAAGATTAAGGAACACTAGAAATGTTTTTAAAGATTTGTTATATATATATACGGATGCGAAAGAAAACCAGGAACTTAAATTCAAATTCAATTTCAAATTGTTCTTAAGCATTTAAACATTTAAGAGATTGTTGTAAATTGTTTTAGTGCGAAGATTCTGCTGCATTCGCTGGAAACACATTGACATAGTCAAAGTTGCCCAATGTTTTAAATACCTTTTGTAAAACATTAAAAACGAAAAAAAGCGTAATTATAATACTTATTTTCAGTAAAGTTGTAAAGCAAAATTGTTATATATTGTAATTGCAGCCATTTTTGTAGGCCTTTGCTCCAAAAGCCTAAAACACAAATTCAATTTGTTTTTAATTCTAGCCTAATTATTTAAACTTTGTTCTAAGCAAGCCCCAACACACATCTAAACGAAATTTCAATTACCTTAACTGGCAGCAGAAGCAACCTACACTATATATATATTTCTATATATATCTATATGCTATATAGACATTTAGTTGATCCTTAGTTTTTAAAAACTTGAAAATGAGTTTTTGTTAATTTTAATTCTAATTTTAGTCGTTATAGTTTTATTTTGAAAAAGAATCAATTACAAAACAAACAAAAAATATACAAAAAACAACAACTTTTAATGCTAGTTAAATGGAGTTAAACACACCCACACACATATACACACACATACACCAACAAACTATATATAATGCTAATGTTAAACATGTCATAGAAAGCAACAAAGTTCTGTACAAAGCCCAACTCCAATCTTTTGTATGTATAAAAAGTAACAGACGGAGAAAAACTAAAAACAAAAATATGAAAATATTATTTTCTAAAAATATAAAATTTTGTCTTATTTTATTATTTATATTTAGATTTGTATGTTCATTTGTTGCTCAGCCTTAAGTTTTCCACGCCGACTGAAGTTTTACAATTTTTATGCATTACTCAACACAGAAAAGTTTTAAAAATTTGCAGCAAAAATATTTTTGTTATTTTTGCATAAAGTTCCTATCGATTTTTGGGCACGCAACTAACAAAATACAAATTCCAATGTATACGAAAATATAATTTCGAAAAAAACAAACACAAAAAACATAATACATAAATGCATATAAGTAAATAAATAAATGTTGATAAATGTGTAGTGTTAAAAAGTGAAAGAAAGAAGAAGAAAAACAAACAACAAATGTAGTTAAATATAAGAGCTAAGATATATATATATATATTCTAAATAACGCTTAAAGATCGTTTAGCAATGTTAAAACAAAAAGAAAAACCAACCACATTTGCCGGGTTCCATATTTTCATATTTTCATATGCAGCTAATAGAGAAAATGCTTTACATTGGCTTTTTGTATAGGCTAAAAAGGGGAAAAGGAAAAGTGGGAAAAGAAATGAATTTACTATGAAGCGAACTGAGTTAAGCATTTCGAATTGAGTGCTACATCAAAAACAAATATTTAAGTTAACAATTTCTCATTTGGCAACCTTCAATGCATCTTATTAGAATTGTTTTTAACAGTCGACAGCGTACATATTTTCTGATCAGATACCATTTGGAGTTATGTTCATTTAGCCCTAATAACACCTTGCAATAGATAAAGAAAATAAATTGCGAATTGCATATGTTTAAAGCAAAAAATTGTTCAATATTACAACTTTGTTATGTTAACATTAACTCATTAAATAATCTTATTAGTACCATGTTTACCTGCCAGCTGCTTTCTCAGTTTCTGATCAGATTTTAAATGAACGAATTGGAGTCGTAGTGAGATTAGCAATTAAGTGCGCCTAATTTAAATAGTTGTGTGTACAAGCAAATGAATTTAGACATAAAATGAACAAAGGAAACAAAACGAACAGTAACAAAGCGAAATGCTTAAAAACAAAACAGAAGAAAATAACGACTCGATAATATTGTATAATTATACACAAAAAATCAGAAAGAAAATGCTATGTACTTATATTTATATGTATATATTTGCATACAAATGTATGTGTATGTGCAGTAGCTGTATTTATATGTAAATGTGTATGTAATTGTGTATTTAGTTAAAAAGAAAAACGAACATAAAGGTATATATACACATATTTGCAAAAACAAAAAAAACTGAAGACACGGGACGAAGAAAATATAAGGAAGTATGGAAAAAGCAAACAATTGAACGAATTCTTAATTAGACCTGGGTGCTTTGTAATTTTGTTGATAATGTTGAATTTTTTTAAATTTGATCAATATTTAAAGTTATCCTTAGATTTTCTTAAATATTCGATAATAAATATAGGTATTTATTCATAGTGATTCAAATACCAGTACGCGATATTTTCATTCGATATGTTTCATACATCTTGGCTTCTGGTCTGACCGTGGACGACCCCGTGATAAGAAGTAGCTGTAATTAAGTGAACCTCTGCCAATTTTGCAACCAAATTACAGTTAACAATGTTCCGTCTACAACAATCACAACCAGATCCAGCAGAGGAACAGAAGAGAGTTTCTGCCGAGGTTCGGAACAATTTTATCATCTTTGGAGCGCTCTGCATAGCCATACGACTTGGTAAGTAAAGAAATCTTAAGTGGCTTATGTAAATACAGGTGTTTGATTTTGTATAAAAACAGCTCCTATTGTTCTGCAACACCTGAAGAACGCGTAGCAGTAATATATTTGGAACTAGATGAAGGACGCTACATACAAATTTAACATATAGATGCATTTAGCTTTTAAGCACGTGCATTTTATGCGGCGTTTTAATGAGCCAAGAGAGAATCAATGTTGTATATGCGCATAAACTTAGAGCTTCTAAATTACCCGCAACTGTAACTGTAATGTAGTTAAGTCGTTTCAAACTAATAAATGCATTAAAACTACAATTGTATTAAAATGATTATTGGATATGCAACGATTTTTCCTCATATATTTATCGATACTTTGTGCAACATGGCACTTTCCAACACCATGCGCAAGACGTCCAGTTGGCCAACACACTAAGAGAAACGAAAAAAAAAAGAAACAACAAACACTGTATAAACAGTTGGCAGCTAGCAAACAGTCGTATGGTAAGAGTGGCCAGCAGGGACAATGAAAACGTAAAAAAATAATCGCCCCCGGCTGCTGACTCAAGCAAATACTATAGCATTTTGTTAAGCTAAACAGATAACAACGGCTGACAAACTTTACCAAAGAGAGAGAAAAATATAACAATAGCGCGCAATACTCACGAATTGGAGCATATGGAACAATAAAGTTGGCGATAACGCCGTGCAATACTCTCCGATCTGGCTACTTGTTAATGTGCATTACAATAATTATTTCCGTCGCCCCTCGGGTGTACATGTTCGATAACTAGACAATGGTTGCTCCCAAGTATGAACGTCTAAGCACCGGCGACGTCGACGTCGGCGCTGGCAGTGATATCGACGATGGCAGCAACATTGAGGAGCTCGAACTAAGCCTCGACTTGACACATAAAAATGTTAACAGTAGTCAGTACGCAAAGAACAACAGCGGTAACAGCAACAGCAACGGCGACGGAGCCACGTCCGCACAGCAGCATCATTCACATCCACACGACGGCATGACGAGGCATGCGGAGGCTCGGTTCATGCAAATGGCAATTGGGACATTGGCCACAATTCTACTCTATTTGTCGCTATCCATCACGCTGACCTTCTATCAGACGGACATCAATCGAGAGCTGCCCTTTCCGCTCACCATTGTAACGTATCATTTGATATTAAAATTTCTGCTCGCCGCGCTGGTGCGCAGCATCTATAAGATGCGTGTGGGCAAGACGCGCGTCCAGCTAGACTGGCGAGTCGCTGTGCGCCGAATGGCGCCAACCGGCATAGCCAGTGGCATTGATATCGGCTTCTCCAATTGGGGTCTTGCACTGGTGCCCATCTCTTTATATACAATGACCAAGTCATCGACCATTGTGTTTATACTGCTCTTTGCCATTCTGCTAGGATTGGAGCGCAAGGTGAGTAGCCTTGAAGACGATAATTATAATAATTATAGCACTAATTGCGTTTTATGCCTTTGCAGAGCTGGTCATTGGTTCTAATAGTCGGTCTCATTGGCTTGGGATTGTTTATGTTTACCTACAAGTCGACACAGTTCAATACGCTGGGCTTCTTGTTTATTTTGTTTGCTTCACTGAGCAGCGGCGTGCGCTGGAGCTTTGCGCAGTTTATAATGCAGAAGTCGAAGTTGGGTCTACACAATCCCATTGACATGATCTACCATATGCAGCCGTGGATGATTGTATCGCTGTTGCCGCTAGTACTCTTCATTGAAGGTCAGTATCATAGCAATCCAAATCTAATCTAAATAAATTGCATTATTTCATCTTTCAGGACCTAAGTTATATGCTGTTTTGCAAAATCTGCACAATACGGCTGAGAGTGATATTCTGTGGGTTTTTGCCCGAGTTACACTGGGCGCATTTATTGCATTTTTCATGGAGGTCAGCGAATTCTTGGTTCTGTGCAAGACATCCAGCCTTACACTGTCTATAGCGGGCATCTTTAAGGATATATGCCAGCTGGCTTTAGCCGTGGCGCTGAAAGGCGATCAACTCACTCCCATTAACCTTGTAGGTCTGGCAGTTTGCTTAGCTGGCATCGCTTGTCATCTACTGCATAAATATTCCACCATGGCGAAGGTAAACAAGCAACAGTTGGGCTTACAGTTGGAGGACGATGGCGAGGACATGTGCGCCGAGTATGACTTCAACAAAGGCAATGCCATTGTTGGCATTCATGGCAATCCACCGGGCTCACATGCCGCACTCACTGTGCCGCTGCTGGAACAAACCGACTCGGAAGATGAGTCGGCGAACGATTCGACAAACAAGCAAAACGCATCGGATGTCATTTTCGATGTACTCAAACGGCGCGACATGCAGCGATGAGTTGGCTAATTGATTACTTAATCAACCGGCTGTAAAGGCAAACGGCAATGCATAGCATTTTATTTATACTTTTATTCCAGACTTTCTGGGAAAACACCCAAACAGTTGTGATTGTATGTGTGTGTCTGTGTTTGTGTGTGCAGCTGTCTGTCCTCTTGACAGCCGTCTTGTAAATGTTGTATATTCCAAAAGCTTACTACTTAGTGCAACAATTGAACTACATTCGTATATATTTAGCATTATTATTATAACATATGTAATTCAATCGATCCGTTTGCTTCTACCTATACTTATATTCTCTTGCAGATCATATACTATTGTATATATACCCATACAAGTTCCTTTTCTAAATTGTCTGACTAGATCAGAATGTCTGTTTTATCGATTGTAATGTCTCCATAATTGTAATATGATATACAAGCTTTGCTCATCCGTTTCAATGCGGAACGCCATACGCGTTGCCATATGAACAAATGTTCGATGGAAATAATTGAATACCTGCCAACTCTATCTCGGAAGGGTATTTGTAATTCGGTGTGCCGGAAAGTTGTATTAATTTTATTTGCATTTCCCTTCCAAGTCATTTATTTTTAGTTATTGACCTAGTTGAATAGGAGTTTAGTATTGTTTTGTTGATTGGGCATTTGTGCATATTCCATTTTTTTCCTTTAGAGATTATTTTTGATAAACAATAAAAATACGGGCTGAGCGTCTTTTCCACTAATATAAGAGGTCTACATAGACCAGTAAACTGGCAACTATTTAACCTTTTTTAATAACTATTTTTCTTAAACACAATGCATTAACAGTTATAAGACGCTATATCAAAGAAAACATGTATTTAAATTGCAGACATCTTAATAAAAATTGTAAGTGTATCGAATTGCCTGTATGTGTCTATTATATTATTTAAGTTTAAAATATGTTATGGCCGTGTGGCTAATGAATTCGAAAAATATATAATTCTGAACGTTCAGCATGTCTTGATTCGCATTAGTTGACATGGCTTATCGCATCGAACACCCCACAATATCGCGCATAGTTTGGTGGTTGCTTGGAGTTGGCTTCGTCCTGCTATTGATACAATTGATGCGCAGGTCATCGTCAGATGCTATAAATGAGCAACATTTCAACGCGACACTGGATCAATTGTTATTACCTCGTTGGCTTAGCTCGGTTGGCCATGACCAGATTGCTTATTTTCTCATTAAAGAGCTGAGTACACAGGGCTTTACCACAACGTATGATGAGGTCTGGAACGAGCTTCCATATACCAATGTGGTGGGCATCATGAATCCTCAAGCAAAGCAATTTCTATTGCTCAGCTGTCATTATGACTCAAAATATTTGGACACATCTGAAGAATATGTATCTGCTACGGATGGTGCAGTTTCCTGTGCCATCTTATTGAATATGGCTAAGAAGCTTAATTACTTTTTACATAATGAATTTGCTCACAACCCAGATCTTGGTTTGGTGGTAAGTAGCAAGATGTTCCTATCTACTTAAGCATCCAGTTAGCATCATTAATATTGTCTCTAAGCTGGTGTTCTTTGATGCCCACGATTCTGTTGATGGCTATGTAGATTCTACTCTTCCGTTGCTAGGGTCGAAGGGCTTTGTAAAAGCGGAAACTGTATCATTAAGACAAATCGTGAGTTGCTTCAATCAATATACATACATATATTTGAGTTTCTTCTCTGAGTTCACAGAGATTGGTTATTTCTTTTAATTTGATTGGCGCACCAGATCAAATTTTTATGAGCAAATATCAACGCACATATAAATTACACGAGCGTCTGGCGGATATTGAGCAGGAGTTACGCACTTCCGGTAAACTTAGTGATTGTCACCAGTTATTTCACAAGCTCAAGGATCATGACAACGATATAGCGGATGATCACTATGCCTTTCTAGAAAAGGGTTAGTTTTATATATACAAAATATTTATGCATATATAAAAAAAACTCAACTTAACTAGACATACCAGTTATGCATGTAGTGCCCTATACTTATCCGGAAGTCTGGCTACAGGAAACGGATAATCTGCAGCACTTACACTGGCCGACCATTCGAAATATGAACATAATTATTACGCAGTTTGTTTATGAATATTTAAATGATGTAGCATTTAGAACATTGTAAATCTGTTTATTGGTATGAAAAAAATCATTTCATATATTATAATCAATAGTTATTATACTGATATTGCAGTCTAGCATTATTGGCGCCAACATTTTTTTGAAATATCGATACGTTCTGAACAATATTTATCCGAGAGCTATCGATTATGCGCGATAACAGCTAAATGCAACAGTATGTTATGCAGCTGCCGCAGACTGTGTTAGCCGCCTTCCCGCGCATTTCATGCTGGATTAGGTAGATTTTGTCTTTATGCTACAACCACCAAAGATTTTGGCTATTTGGTTTTTCACTCGCCCAAAAACCACTGTAGCAATCAGTCGCGCCACCCGAGCCAAAAATTCGCAACACTTAAATTCCATTGTGAGTACACCACACGCATCGATATCACTTCGACGCTAATACTTAACCTTACATACACAAACAGCTTACACACACATATATATAAATGTACATACACATCTATATTTACTTTTATACATTAATGTTGCTATATATTTTTTAGTTTTGTAAAATAAAATTGTGAAATTGATCAGTGAACGCATAACGAAGATGCCACGACGCAAGGTACTCACAAACAATAATACCGCTGAAGAAGATAAGACGATGCAGCCCACAAAAGCGAAAAGGGCGCGAATGGTTTTCCATCTGGATTTGCCAGAGCGTCGTCAAATAGTTGGCAATGTGTTAGTGTGCGGCACTGGCGATACCGGTCAATTGGGTCTTGGGGAGGATGTAGTGGAACGCAAGCGTCCGGCCCTCGTTGAGAATATACCAAATCCTGTCGATGTCTGTGCCGGTGGCATGCATTGCTTGGTGTTAACGCAGGCAGGCGACATCTACTCATTCGGTTGCAATGATGAAGGCGCGCTTGGTCGTGACACCAGTGAAGAGGGCAGTGAATCAACGCCGGCACTCATCAATTTACCTGGCAAAGCGCTTTGCATTTCGGCGGGCGATTCGCACTCGGCATGTCTAATGGAGGACGGGCGCGTCTTTGCGTGGGGCTCGTTCCGGGACTCGCACGGCAACATGGGCCTAACAATAGATGGCAACAAGCGCACACCTATCAATCTACTCGACGGCATGGTTTGCTGCAGCATTGCCTCTGGCGCCGATCATTTAGTTATACTCACCACATCGGGCAAGGTCTTTACCGTTGGCTGTGCGGAGCAAGGGCAACTGGGACGCATTGCTGAACGTTCGGTTGGAGGCGAGGGTGAGTAAACATTTTCCATTTTGCCACGTGTGAATTTTAATATAATATTCATATATTTATTCATTTTGTAGGTCGTCGGGGTAAACGGGACTTATTGCGGCCGGATCAGTTAATCATAAAGCGTGCGAAGCCCTTTGAAGCAATTTGGGCCACCAATTATTGCACATTTTTACGTGAGTCCCAGACGGAGGTAATTTGGGCCGTGGGCTTGAACAATTACAAGCAACTAGTGCATGCAAAGGAAGCCGAACGGGTTTTGATACCTATTAAAACCGATTTGAAGAACGTTAAGCAGATTGCGGGTGGTCAGCATCATACCTTGGTGTTGGATAATTCAATGCGCTGCTTTGCCATAGGCCGTTCCGACTATGGGCGCTTGGGCATTGGCGATGTCAAGGACGTGGTGTCCGAGCTTGTGCCCATTAAAGAGCTAAGTGGAAAGACCACGTTTGTCGGCTGCGGCGAAGCCTGTTCCTATGCCATAACCAATGACGGTGCATTGTATTCCTGGGGCATGGGATCGAATCATCAGCTGGGTGTGGGTGATGGTGACGATGAGCTGGAGCCGGTTATTGTCATCAGCAAGAATACACAGAACAAACGGATGCTGATGGCATCCGGCGGTGGACAGCACAGTGTGTTTTTGGTCGAGTCCGATGAGGAGAAGCAAAAGGAGAATTTGCCAGCCAGCAAGAAACCTAAGACGGCTGCTGTCGAAGCAGCCAAGGAATCAACCGAAACAGATAATAAAGTAAAAGACGCAGTCGACACGAAAATTGAGACAGTACCGACAACGGTCAACGACGGCAAGACTGCTAAAAAGCCAGCATCCAAACGCGGACGCAAGAAGGATTAATAAGGAAACATTGGTCAAATGTTTCTAATTGTTTTTTCTCTTCTAAAGCCGCATTATTATTGTGCGCAGCTATAAACACTTAACTAAGCCAACTGAATAAAATGTTGTAATTGATTGTTTTTTAAATATAGTAAATTTATATATGTATTCGCAAAATAGCACAAAAAGCTATTGCAAAAAGTGAAAGGAACCGAACTAAAACATTTATTTACAAACTAATTAATTTTCTTTTTGTTTTATATCATAATAGTAATTATTTTATAATTTACAAACATATATCATATATTCATCGAGAACTAGATATCCATTGTTTCACAAGCGGCTATTAAAGACATATATTCAAGGCTACTAAAGCATCTGAGAGCTCAAGGTAGATAAATAGCAATGAATGGGTTGAAATATAGATGTATATATAGATATATTTATATATATATATGAATGCCAATTGGGAGGCAAGCCTTCTGCTTAAATTTTTTAAATACAGTACACAATTTATGCTCTCTAAATCCGTTAATTAATTTTGTGTAAATATTTTCATATATAAAATATATCAGTGTAACGTATATACATATACATATAAATTTTTCTCTTTATATAAATATATATGTATATATATATATACTTAAATATACATATATACATATATACTCATATGTATATAAATATATATTTGCCAACCACATGAAATATGAGTCTGCTGGGTCAGTGCCGTGTGTTGCATATTTGATCGATGGGGTTGCATCCGTTGTTGTTGATACTGCGGTTGTTGAATGACTTGGAGGACCACCATCGTCGATTTGGCCATCATAATTGCTACCCAAATAGAAGCTTAAGAATAGAATACAGCAAAGCACGGAAAGCGATAGAAGCACACGCGCAATTTCACGTGCGAATGCAATGAGACCAATAAGATGACCGCCATTAGCGACACCACCGTCCATTTGACCGCCGATGGCTTGCTTATTTTGAATTGACAATTGCAGATGAGCCAAGAGTAACGCTTCCAAGCAGTGGATATCCTCATCCGTGTAATCCAAGCCTAGGCTCAAGTCGCAAATGCAGCTATCTTTGTACAGGCTATAGTCAACGCTATTCCTTTTAATATCATCCTCCTTATTGTTGTTGTTGTTGTTGTTGTTATTGTTATTTTGTTGGTCGTGGCTGGCAGTGGCGTCGTCGCTCAGGGTCACATTGCATTGAGACAGTAAATATCATTTACGCTTGGGGCACGTATATGCTGGTGTTTTATGGTAAGTTCCCCCAACTGGTGAATGTTTTGCCATCTGTTCATACATTAGAAAACCTATAGCAATAAACAGCAAAAATAATAGAACTAATGTAACATATTGTAAATGTGTTGTAAAATTCAATTGAGCCTCCATTTTTTGGGCTTGCTCCTGCATCTTGTCAAGGCCAAATTCCTGCAATAAACCATAAAATTAATTCAATACACGTAGATGTGAAAAGCTATTCAAAAATATGAACATACCCCACTGCTGCTGTCGCTTTGCGCTGTGCCATTCTTGACACAATCGGGTTTATCATCCATGCGGCACACAAGGCGAAAGTTTTCGACATCTGAGTCTGTTGAAGATTTTGCTTTCCACATATCTGAAACTCCTTGTGCGCTACAATCAATAGCATCTGTGCGGGCTGCCATAACAAGGAATTTGTCTTTGCCATCGATGCTCAGCACTTGGTCAGATTTTAGCCAAATGTGCACCTCGGTCGTTTGATTTGGAGGTACTACGCCACAACGCGGCCGGACGCGAAACTTTTCTGGTGATGTTGTTTGTATCTGAAAGGGATATCATTATTAATATCATTATTTATATCTTGTATCAAATTTGATTTATCTTAAGTCACCTTATAAGCTACCGGCTTATTAGCAATATTTCTGAGCGACACCTTTGCTTCCCCATTTTCTTTGCAGATATTCACAAATTCCTTGGGCTCCAATTGCAACATAACTGGGCAGCAGATACAATATGTATATGTAGATGGGGGAAAAAATTGTATGTGTGCTTAATCTGACTATAAAATTTTTTCCAAATTTATGTTCAAACTAAATAATAAATTTTCATTAGGTGATATGACTGATTGTGAAAGCAATGTTTATGTTTCGTCAATGTTTTATAAATGATATATGTACAAACACACATACATATATCATTTACATGTATATTTTTTATATGTATTTCACTGCTTACCCATATCCGAAGGCGTGTGGAGCTCGCCGACGCTTGAATCATGAGGCGCCATGCGAACGCTATTGGAGAAGGTAACCTGCCAGAGAAAAAGACACAGAAACAATGGATTTTATTTGAAATTGAGATGCTTTTGGTCAGCCCATTATCATCAATCGATTCATGCTGAGCTTTGCTATTTTCACAAGTGCCCATTCTATCACTTCAGGGCCTCACTTGACAACACAATGGAAGGTCGTTTTGCAAATTGGTCTGATTTACTCATGCAACGACAATTGGCCGGATAAGGGAGCTTTATAACTGTATCATATTTTATATATTTTTTTAAGCTATTTGGATAAAGTAGAGTTTATTTTACTGTAGTTTGCTTCTATTTCATTTAACGCATTATGTGGATGTTATGTACATACTTTAGTTATAAGAGCCGACACTTTGATACTGTGAAATTTAATCTCAGATACAAGATAGATTTATTTGTAACTTAAATGTTTATCTACTGCGCATTGAGATGCATGTTATGTTAAGCTGCTGTTATTTACAGTGATTATCGCAGATGGTTAAGCGATGCGATTAAAAAAAAGATATCGATAGATATTTTAAAGTAACCATTGACCGTTTCAAAATGTGTGCGAAATATTAATGTGCAAATGGATGTAAAGGTAAAGATATATGAGTGTATATATATATATATATATATACCCTTTACTAAGTCTTAAAAGCATTAAAACATTTTTAAGGAATACACAAATATAGTGTCAAAGGCGCAGAAAGTGAAACGACCATAAAACTATATTGTATCGATATTTACGGAGACATTGCAATGAGCGATAGTATGCTCTTAACATCTGGTGAATGAGTAGAATCTAGATGATTTTAAAACGAATATGCAAATGTAGATTTAAGTAATAGTTTCATAGAAAACCCAAAAAAGCGACGCAAGGTTAAATTCAAAATTATTCATTTCGAATTTTAATTAGAATTCATTTTCGTTTTATACACTTCCATTTGTTGTCGTTGTTGTGCTTTGTTTAGCATTAGCAACACACCCATGATCACCAATATGCACATGGAAATACACGCATACATAAACACGCATCCATATTGGTCGAAGACACCTACCCTGGGCATGTTTGCGGAAGAATAATAGATTAACTGTGTTATCGTGTTCTGATTTCTTTTACTTTCTTTTTTACGTTCCGTAAATGTGTTGTTGCTTCTTTATATACATGCAGAATGCTTAAAGCGAAAATATCAACAGCATGTATCAAGTTAATACAATTATATTTCGTATAACCAATGACGTCGGTCAACGTACCGCGACAAACGTGCAAACACAACTAAAATCAGCTCAAAAGCAACAACACAAAAACGCACAAAAGACTAAATACAAAAGCTCGCCGCCATGCCAAAAAGCTCACGCACTGCGATCAGCCTTTGCGAGCGAACAGCTGTTCGCTTGGCTACCCGATTGCAGGCATAGCATTGCACTTCGTGTCAATTGAATTTACGAGTCGGCGATGAGCGAACGATAACCGAATAAAGTGAAAATGAGAATAAATAATTTGCCTAATGCTACGCACTGGGAATTATTTAATATGTATGCCGTGTGTGTTCTATTTTTTTTCTTTTCAGGTCAACGCCTCGCAACACTTCGCTGACCACTGCGGACGAACGAAAGCGAAACTTTTACAATGTGACTATGGAAAGGCTATTAATAGAAAATAACGGCTAACGCAGGACACGCAATCCGCAGCGCACCCTAAATCGATATGAAGCTTTTAATGTAAATCAATTAAAGGAGCAACTCGCGTGTTCAGTTGGTCAGGAAATGCAATTAACAGACAAACTTCCGAACTTCCAGCTAAAGCCAAACACACCTAAAAAGAATTTAGTTCTCGGCCAGCTTGGGTCACCTACCTTCTTATCCAAGCCCATTTCATCATGGGGCTGGTCGTCGTCACCGGCGTTGGCAGCCTTCGGCTTGGCGACCGCACGCTTGGGCTCTGGGACAAATTGGAACTCGTAGCTGTCTGTGCCACCCCAACTGACCAGACAATTGTCCTTGGGCACATACTGAGTGACGTCCTTTTTCGATATCATTTTCAATATCTCAACCGCTTTGGGTGGCAGCAGCGCCTTGATGACCTTGAAGGCGGCTACATAAAGGTAAAACAGAAGGGAAAAGCTCATTTTCAAAGTTCAAAGTGTAACGGCTTAAGTTAATTTTTACCATTCAACACCCAAGCCAGCTCGAAGACCAATATGTAATTAAGCGCATTGGGATAGTAGAGCTTGAATGTCTCCACAATACGCCGGACAAAGTCCAGATCCATGGTGGCCAGGCCCGTGCCGGCCATATCAAAGAATATGCTTAGCTGGGTCATATGGGTCTCACGCTGCGTTCGCTCTACCCAGTAGACCACAATGCGTATCAACTCATCTAGATTTTTCGATTTGCTATGCAACTTGACGCGAAATATGAGCAACGGCTTGCCATCCACATCCTGGCTATACACGAAGGCTGAACCCTCATGTAGATACTGCTGATTGAGCTTATCTTCAGTCAGATCATTGGCTCCGTATGCCTGACGCCAGCTGCAGGTATCCCAGAGCTTCGTAAAGGATGTCTCCATGTCCAGGTCGTACATTTCCAGAAAACGTTGCAGCCAAACATGATCGTTGCGAATGCGATCCAGGTCAACGGGATGAAAGGGTACTAAAATCGGAAAAGAGTTAATGAAGTAGAAAATATTTATTGATCTTTCACATTGAACTGTGGACACCTTCTTCAAAAGGTCAGTAGTAATTTGTGAAGATCAACTGAAGGTTGACATTCTACACAACTTGTATTTTATTTACCCAAAAGTCGCGTCGCGCCGCTTCGTATTCGTAAAGTAAATAACGTAAAAATGGCAATAATATTTTAATGATGGTGAATAATTTCCCATAGACGACATACGACTCCTCCAATGTGACTCACTTAAAATATGTATAGAGCTCATAAAGCCTATATACTTAACACTTAGTTAGCCAACCCGGGTGCTCACTGCTCGCTGCTCACTGCTCACACCTGAGTGAACTAGTTGACCCTGAGCCAGGCCAGCCAGCTGCACTTTGTGATTTTACTCGCTTGCACTCACCTGGGGGCGGCGACTCGGCATATTTCGTATTGAAGCGCTGTCGCAGCTCCTCAATTTGCGCAGTGGTCGGAACTTTGGTTTTAATGCCCATTGTTAACACGCAAGTGACAAGTGTCAGCAGCAAGTAAACATCGAACTATTTCTAGTTTGTGGTTTGTGCGCTTATCGCTCACTGTGTTGGCTTGTTAATCGATAATCCACTTTCTCAGCACGATAAAGCGATAAGATTTCTATTTCCAACGTTTCCAGGCACCATACATCAGCCGACAGCGACAAGCGACAAACAACGAATGCAGGTGCTTCAACCGAGCCAACTCTGACAAACTAACGGTCGATCGGCAATTGGCAATCGAACGGCGTACGCGTCTATGTGGAGCACCAATACACCCAAGGGAACGCCTTCAAAAGGGCAGCGTCGGCTGAGGCTGCTGCTACTGTTGCTGTTGCCGCTGCTGCTGCTGCTGCAATAGAACGTGATCGTCGCCCTACGCTGGTTGCATTTAAATGAGTTTTGCTTTGACTGAAAAGCTCGACTGTGCGAAATTAATGAAAGCTCGCACTCAAGCCGTTGCAGTTTGGTATGACACTAATGAAATACCCATCATGTGGCTTTGTAGCATATATTAATATATATTTTATATTTATTTAAAATGAGCAATTATTCTAATTATTATTACTTGTATTTTTTTAAATAAATATTTCCTATTAACTACTTTACACATTTGTATTATGTCATAATGAAAAAACTGAGGTTCTAAAGTATTTCTTATACAAATCAAAATTTATTATTTATTTCTGCTGGCTTATCTGGTAGTGTTGGCTCACTATAGATAAGATTACGCGTATATGTTCGGAATATTTCTTCAAAATATAAAAAATATCAAACCTAATTGGAAATTCTGATAATAAATAATATATATGTTTACACTTTGCTTTTATGCTGATTTAAACTCAAAGGAATAGTCATCAGTGCCGCCCCAGATCGTCAGGCAGTTATCCTTATTCACATACTCTTGAATGTCCTTTTTGGTGGTCACGCGCAGTATCTCCAAAGCCTCAGCGGGCATGAAATTCTTCACCACTTTGAATGCCGCTGGAACAAATGAGAAATGGAAAATTATAATTCATTTAAGTAGTCACAAAAGCGTGCCTCACCGTTGAGCAGGAAGGGCAGCTGGTGCACGATAATATAGTTGGGCGCGTTGGGGTAGCTGGTCTCGAATAGACTGATAATTTTCTTGACAAAATCTATGTCCACATTGCTCAGGCCTGAATTGGTCATGTCCATGAAGAGTGTGATCTTCTGCAGATAGTCTTCACGCTGTATGCGCTCCACCCAGTACACGATCAGGCGTATTAGATCGTCCTGGTTCTTGCTCTTCGAGTGCTTGGAGAAGTTCACAATGAGCAAGGGCTTGCCCTCATGGTCATGATTGTGCACATAGATCTGGCCGTCGTGCAAATACTCCTTATTCAATTTCGACTCAATAATATCGTTTGCTCCATAGCTCTCGCGCCATGCGCAGATTTCCCATAAGCGCATAATGGTCTTCTCGACGTCCAGCTTGAAGACCTCCAGCAGCTGTGTAATCCAGATATCGTTGCTCCGGATGCGCTCCAAATCGCTCTCATTAAAGGGGACTGCAAATAGCTAAATGATTATTCACAATTTTTGAGGAGTCTGGGGCCTTTTCTACCTTTTGGTGGTTCGGTTACGAGCTTATCCAAAAAGCGAGTCTTCACCTCGTTTATCTGCTCCTGGCTGGGCTGTTTTCTGGTGGGCATTGTGACTAGTGCAACTCGCTACTGAAATTGGGCAAATGGCTTTGCAAAACCTTGAATTTATATTGGAAAATAAAAAAAACTAGACATTTATCGCTTTGCTACTGAACTCGATCACTGATAAGCTATAAAAGTCTCGTTCTCCAGCACTCATGGATGACTCGCCGGATCGCTTGCCAATCAAACACTAACAGCTGCAACTGGAGCAATTTAAAGAAAGACAGAGAGACAGGGAGACGGGGAGAGGGAGAGCGAACGAGAGTGCGCGAGATATGAGTGACGTTTCAATTGAAACAATTCTCTCTCTCTCTCTCTGAACTCTGCGAGATCATTAAAGCGAGCAACTCAATGCGACAGCCAGTCGTACCAGAACCGTTCTTTAATCAATCTAAATACAGAAACATTACAAAAACGAGAAAGCAAGAGAAACATACAGAGAGCGAGAGAGATATGGAGAGAGCAAGTTGAAAGTTGCGATAAGATGGGAACAAACGAACCCAACAAACGAACAGTCGGAGCCACTGTTAGACCCGATTCCACAGCATGAAAATATTTGGAAATTCATTTATATACTATATATACATATATATTTATATACTAAATATATATATATAAGTTAACTTATAACACTTAGTTAGCTTATAACACTTAATGTTAGGTATTATTCAACACTTATTATCGGGTGCTAGACAAGTTAAGGAACAGCCCTGGCAAGGGCAACTCTACTTACGCCGGTGAGGCTATGATTTGTAAAAATATAGATCAGTCTCGTGTTTTAACTCGTACTGATAGGACATGCTAAAAATTGGTGTCATATAAGTAAAACTAAAAATAGTGAATATAATAAGAAAAACCAATAAAATTAACTGTTTCGATTATTCAAAAAAGAACAATTAAAAGCAGGGTTAAAAAGCGTTCTTCCAGTAAACCGCTTAAATAAATATTCACTCCGTCATTTGCTCGTTAAATGGCTTATTTCATTGTCTGAGCCCGAGGCCAGCAATAAGAGGCACAGTCGCCTCTCAACCTAACTTTCAGTCACCACAGGACTGGAAAACATATAATTGGCGCCCAACTAGTGGTCGGACTCCACAACCAACAACAATTAAGACAGCAGCGCGGGAGCTGCAATTGACAGATCTTATAAAGGGATTTTTTTTTTTGTTTTGTGTTAGTTGAATCTTGTAAGTGGATACTCTAGCCAAAATTTTTCTTCAAACACAAAAAGTGTTAAAATTTATTTTATAAAAAAATACCTAGGACTAGCGAGTATTTTATATTGCAATTGCATGTAAAAAAAAAAAAAAAAAAAAAATTAATGATCAGAACCAAGTGAGAGTGACTACTTTGGGAATTTTAGTGGCAGCAATTGATCATTCAGATCGTCAATAAAATTACATTGTGTTACTTTCTGTGTGTCTGAAGTTGTGCATGCAGTTCTCGTAGTTCAGAGCTGTGACGTAATTCGACCCATCTTCTGACTGCCCGTTTTATTTTTCGCGACCACTGACCTGCGCATGTCTCGGTTCAACCAATATAGAAACCCTCGCAGGCAGTCTAGCGACTCAGATTCCGACTGTGTAGTTCCCCCACCATCAGGTAGAATGGATGCAGATCAGCTTACGGAAATAATAAGGACGGCTACTAGCAAAGCTTTAGCCGAACAGGCCGCTGTAAACCAGCAGAGGGAACATGTATTAACTCAACGAATTAATGAGTTAGCTGAACAAATAGCGGTAGCAAACGTTGCCGCCCCACAAGTAGTAGCGTATGCTGCTATAGGAATTAGGAACGATATTCACTGTGACGAGCCACTAGATGCCGTCAAATGCTTACCTGAGTTTGCAGGGGTACAGGAATCGTATGTATCTTGGAGGCAGGCAGCATTAGCCACTTACGAGATCTTCAGACCGTATAATGGCAGTTCTCGTCATTATCAGGCCGTCATCATCATAAGAAGCAAGATTAGGGGCCCCGCAGACGCGGTGCTAGCCTCATTTGGTACTGTGCTGAATTTTGATGCGATAATAAATCGCCTAGATTTCACATACAGTGATAAGAGACCAATTCATGTCATTGAACAAGAATTAAGTACCTTGAGGCAAGGTGGCCTGTCCCTGCTTCAATATTATGATGAAGTAGAGAAGAAACTCGCTCTTCTCACAAACAAAGTTAATATGTCATATGAGCCGGCTTTAGCAAAGGGCCTATGTGAAAAATTCCGCGACGATGCGTTGCGTGTGTTCATATCGGGTCTCAAGCGCAGTCTAACAGATGTGCTCTTTGCAGCAAAGCCCAGAGATCTGCCTTCAGCGCTAGCTCTCGCGCAAGAGGTCGAGTCGAATCACGAAAGGTACTCATTCGCGGCTAATTTTGCAAAAAGTCTTGAAGACAAAGAGCGCAAGCCGCATGCAAAAGCGCAGGGTCACCAATATGAGAGGTATTCGCATCAAGCCGAAAGACAAGCTAGCGGTACAAAGAATCCGCACTTTAGCAAGCAAAACAGGGCCCCATTTCGGACTGACCCACGAAGCACCAGGCAGCACAACAATAATGGCGCACCAGTGCCCATGGAGGTCGATCCTTCCTTTTCAAGGGTAATGCAGCCCACTCAGGCCCTTGCTTACGCGAACAAGAAGCACCCCGCATCTGACCGCACAGGCGGTCTGAGAAAGCAGCAAAGGTTGAATCACGTCACGCAAGGCGCGGGACAGGGGGCAGAGGTGTGTGCTGATGCTGCCTCCAGCGCAGCGGCACAAATCAATGACGTTACTAGTTATAACTCTGATGCCCTTAATTTTTTAGGAGTAAATCCCTTCTACCCGTCATCAGACGAAGAGTAGGAGGGACTCACATGCAATTCCTCATAGACACGGGCGCGGCCAAGAATTTCATTCGGCCACATAAAGGGTTGAAAGGCGTCCGCTCGGTAGAGTCCCCCTTCAAAATTCACTCCATTCACGGCGAGACACAAATTACACACAAATGCTTTGTTTCAATGTTTGGGTTAAAAGCAACTTTTTTTATTCTGCCGGACTTATCAACCTTTGATGGGATTATAGGCCTTGACCTGCTAAAGCAGGCATCTGCTTCGCTTTGTTTAGCTTCAGGACAACTTAAGTGGGGCACGGAGGTCGAACCAATCACCTTCCACAAATGCAAAAATGTAAATTTCACAAATGTAGACTGTGCAGACGCATCCCCATTAGTTAGAAGTTCTTTTTTGAAAATGCTGAAGACCAGACAAAAGGCCTTTGCAGACCCAGACGAGGCGTTGCCGTATAACACATCAGTCGTGGCTACCATTAGGACCATAGATGAGCAACCGATCTATACCAAGCTTTACCCATATCCAATGGGAGCGGCTGATTTCGTTAATAAAGAAATCAAAGATCTACTAAAGAATGATATAATTCAAAAGTCCGTCTCTCCCTACAATAACCCAATATGGGTAGTAGACAAGAAGGGCACTTATGAAGCGGGCAATAGGAAAATGAGGTTGGTAATGGACTTTCGTAAACTTAACGAAAAAACCGTGCCGGACAAATACCCTATGCCAAATATATCAATGATATTGGGGAATTTGGGGAGAGCCAAATTCTTTTCAACATTAGACCTCAAGTCTGGTTATCACCAGATCATACTCGCTGAACGCGACCGTGAAAAAACCTCTTTCTCTGTGAACGGGGGGAAATACGAGTTCAAAAGACTCCCCTTTGGATTAAAGAATGCAGCAAGCATTTTTCAAAGAACCATCGACGACATACTGCGAGAGCAGATTGGCAAATTTTGCTATGTTGATGTCAATGACGTAATCATCTTTTCAGAAGATGAGGAATCCCACATTAAACACGTGGATCGGGTCCTAAAAAGCTTATACAAAGCAAACATGAGGGTCTCCGTCAAAAAGTCACGTTTTTTTAAGAAAAGCGTGAACTTTCTTGGTTTCGTAGTCACCAGCACTGGCACCACGACGGATCCTGAAAAGGTTAGGGCAATACAGGAGTATCCAGAACCAAAAACGCTGTTCGAGGTTAGATCATTTCTAGGCCTCGCAAGTTATTACAGATGTTTCATTAGGGACTTCGCCGCAATAGCAAGACCCATCTCGAATATCCTGAAGGGTGAAAATGGAACAGTCAGTAAGCATAGGTCCAGAAATATAAAGGTTCAATTCTCTGAAGTGCAGCAGAGGGCATTTCAGAAGTTGCGCGATATTTTGTCATCCGAGAATGTAATGCTCAGGTACCCCGATTTTAAGAAGCCATTCGATCTAACGACCGATGCTTCGGCTCACGGCATAGGTGCAGTTTTGTCTCAAGAGGGTCGTCCTATAACAATGATTTCAAGAACATTGAAGGACAGTGAGGTTAACTATGCAACCAATGAGAGAGAGTTATTGGCCATTGTATGGTCACTTGCCAAATTAAGGCACTATTTGTATGGGGTGAAAGACATTAATATCTTCACTGACCATCAACCCTTGACCTTCGCAGTTTCGGAATCTAATCCAAATGCGAAAATCAAAAGGTGGAAAGCGCGCATTGACGAGTCTAATGCACGTATCTTCTATAAACCTGGCAAGGACAATCTGGTTGCGGATGCCTTGTCAAGACAGCAGCTCAACGCTATAAATGAGCAAGAAATTGAGTCCTGCGCAGCAACGATCCACAGTGAGGTATCTCTCACCAACACCATTGAGACGACAGACAAACCCTTGAACTGTTTTCAAAACCAGATAGTGCTAGAAGAGGCGCGTTTCCCCTTAAAACGAAGTTTTATTCTTTTTGGAAATAAGAAACGCTACTTGATCAGCTATACATGCGTCGAATCGCTGCTAGACGAGCTCGAAGATGTAGTCTCACCCAAATGCGTAAATGCTCTCCACTGTAATTTACACACGCTTGCAATGATACAAGATGCATTGGTGCGAAGATACCCAGCCACAAAGTTCTGGCATTGCAAAAATCGCGTAGTGGACATATTTGCGGTTGGAGAAGGAAGGGAAATCCTCACAGTCGAGCATAATAGGGCCCATAGGTCTGCACAGGAAAATGTTAAGCAGGTACTCTCGGAGTACTACTTTCCACGGATGGCAAAAATTGCCAAGGAAATAGTACAAAACTGCAAAACATGTGCTAGGGCTAAGTATGATAGACACCCCAAAAAACAAGAGCCACAAGAAAAGATAGA